GGCTGCTAGAGCCAAACAGGCTCTGGCCTATCAGGAGTCTCAGTGAAACTTCAGATCTGCTAATACGAAAAGGTGGTGAAGGAAAATCCTCAATTTATGCATTGCAGAACGTGGAGGAAGTGATCTCAGATCCCTTCCTCCCAGCACTTGTGAATGGGAATCCACACTGTGGTAGAGCAGCCTGCAGCTGCTGTTGCAGCTCCTGTCCTTTACCTGTACCTGGCCTGCCTGGTCCCCACTGGAACCCAGGGAAGGCACACACACTGCAAAATATAAACAGAAATGCACAATAACCCTCCCCTCATACAAATAATACGAACAGCACACACACACAAACATACACACAATCCGCATAAACGTAACCCGCTAACAATCCACATATATGCACACAATCCCACATGCAGCCTCTCACATGCAATACCACAAACAGCCCCCACACACTACCAAACACAATGTAACATATCCATCCACACACAATTCCACAAGCAGCCTTCATACACAGCCCACATTCATATGTATCATACATGATACCATAAACTGCTATTGAACATATACAATATAATAGCTCATATACGCACAAATACAATGATACAGTAAAAATAACATAAGCAGAATACGGCAGCATACACCTCAATTTAAAAAAATAGGATCGGCACGCTACGGGACAACACAATCCTATATCGGCACAGGGTTGCTAAAAGGATGCCTACCCCTGCTCTAGGGTCTGAAACACAAACATATATTCCTGACCCTATAATGTTAAAATCACCATCTAGACTCTCAAGCAACCCCTTGTCTCCCTAAATATAGAACAATCTTACCATTATTACAGTCTGCTGCTGCTCGCTCTGCCCCTGTTCTGCCTTCTTCGCTGACATCATCAGAAGTGGTGAACTCAACAAATTACAATGCTTTCCCATAGGAAAGCATTGGATTGGCTGAGCTTGTCAAGGAGGCAGATCAGGGGCAGAGCCAGCACAGGCCAAGTACTAGGGATCGACCGATTATCGGTCTGGCCGATATTATCGGCCGATATTTGGTATTTTCGGCAATATCGGTATCGGCCAATTCAGATACCGATATTGCCGATAATATATAACAGGACCGCCGGGCCCATTACAAGCCCGGCGGTCCTGTGGGGGCCAGCAGCAAGCGCTGACTTACCTTGCAGCAGCTACTGTGTAAATCTCGCGAGACCCGCGGCCGCAGAGCGTTGCCACGGGTTACCATGGCAACGCTCCGCGCGGCACTAAGAGCCGCGAGATTTACACAGGGAGCTGTAGGAGCTGCTTGCAAGGTAAGTCAGCGCTTGCTGCTGCTGAGCCACCACTGTACTTAACAAGCCACTGGACCACAGGGGATACTATATCCCCCTCCCTGGTGTACATACACACACACACACACACTACATAAACACTGCCTGTAACTTGATGCATTGAATCAATCATCCATTTAAAGGCTGTAATGTAAACAAGAAAACGCTCCTGGGAAAACTCAAATTAATAAATTAAGCAGTGTCCCAATGTGGTAGTTCTGGTGCAAATACTAACTGTCATTGGATCACTAGCCTCTAAATGGAAGAAGCCAGGATGGCCGCTGTTTTTCTCTTCTTGGGTTTTTTTGTAGCCAAATATGATGTAAACAATAAATGTGACCTTGAATAGCTTACAAATGTTAATATAAGTAATTTTTTTGTAGAACACCAAATATTATATATTGAATATATTGAAGGGTCTTTCGCAGTATTGTTCATATTAAACAGGTCTGAAGAGAGAACTGATGTTTAACCATACTTTAATTAAATACATTGATGGAGATGGTCTGTAGGCATGACTGTTCTCAGCCAAGTGGAGATATTAACTAAGTTGCCTACTATAAAGAGTTCACAAAGGAATTATATTAATGAATATAGCTCAATTCTAAATAATAGTTTTTCTAATGTTTGTAATTTAATGTAATGGTTTTTCAATTCTAAATACCAGATTTAGTTAAAAAAAAAAAGAAAAAAGACAAAATGTAAAAACTAATGTTTCTACTATGCTTGTGCATCAAAAAGATCCCTAAAATTCACAAACTATTTCTGAATTTGCAAATATTTTTCTAACAAGATTTTTTTTTAACTGTTACCAATAAGGAATGCCTAAGGACCAGTTCTGGAATCATTTATTTGTTTTTCAATCTTTCATTGGGCCTCTCCAATAAGGACGTCCCTAACAACAACACCGGGGAATCAATGAAAATGATGAAACACCGTCAGTGACTCTCCTCTAATTATCTTTACTACAACTACTACAAAGACAATAAGAGGGCAGGGACAGGCCTCACATTCTCGTTGGCTTAGCTACACTGCATGCTTCCAGTCGGCAGTAGGGAAGATGTTTTGTTTAAAGCTTTGGGTTATGTTGAAGAAAGCTGCAAAACAGCCTTTGAACAGCACCGTCAGTGACTCTCCTCTAATTATCTTTACTACAACTACTACAAAGACAATAAGAGGGCAGGGACAGGCCTCACATTCTCGTTGGCTTAGCTACACTGCATGCTTCCAGTCGGCAGTAGGGAAGATGTTTTGTTTAAAGCTTTGGGTTATGTTGAAGAAAGCTGCAAAAGCAGCCTTTGAACAGCAGCAGAAATACAGCATAAATATGAAGCCAAAAAAAAAGTTGTTTTGGTGCTTGGAATTCAAGTGGAGCCAGTAACTCCAGCTATTCTCTTATATAACTATGTATTTTCTAAACAACACAAACACTTTCTGCATGTCTTTAGATAAATTAGAAATTAGTAAAACAACACTTACTCATTTACATAAAGCATGCACAGAAGACCTTTCTAATGGACAGTAACCAGAATAAAGTAGATCTACATATCAGCTCTTGCTCAATAATCACGCAGTTCCTTTATGTACTACAATACTTTGCAAGACTCTTATTGTGTTCCACACATTTCTACCTCTCCCGCCCCGTGCTGAGAAGATAAGCTGCGTGCAGGTCAGTTCTCTAGTTAAGTCTGTCATCGAGTGCTAATTTATGCGCTGCCTGATCCGCTACCTCTTATCTGAACATTTGGAACAGGTGTCACCTGGAATCCAGCCACAAGCACAAGAATAAAATTAAGATGTGACCTCCATTCATAGAGCTGGAGGGGCTGCTCCGTTCATACCTAAATCCCTGGATTTAACCCTTCAGTAATGTTCCGTTGTCAAACCCAGGTGATTTACCAAATGCTAAGAATACAACTCCTGTTGGGAACATAGCATGATTTTCTGCTTAATTAGATTTGGGGGGCTGTTTGTTTCTTAAGGGGTTCTGCATCCTGGAATTCATACATTTGTAAGCATTAGATTGTGCATTCAAAAATATATGTAAACATTTTATATTTCAAATAATAAGAGGTACTCGTATTTGAAGTTTCTGAATTTGCTGTAAATATCCAAGCATTAAAGCCTTTATAGTCTTCTGTTCATAGCTCTTTAATTTGCTTTAAAATAAGGAATAAGAAAAACGTTTTGCAATATAACTCCACCCCCTTAGCCACACCTCCCCTTTTCACAAATTGTCTTCCTCACTGGAAGTGAGCCCAGTGTAGTTCAGCCAATGAGAGATCAGTGTTACCTGAGCTACTAACTTGATTCGACCCCACAGTCAATCATTGTGTTCTTTTTATCCATATAGTATTGCAAAGTAGTGCTAAGGGAAAAGGGGGGCAAATAGAGGACAGGCCGTGAGGTGGAGTCATAACAGTAACCTAGTTCACACTTATCTCTTATTGGCTGAGCTGAGTACATACTTAGAGTATATCTAATAAAGAAGCTGCTTTGTGAAAAAGTGATGTGTGGTTAAGAAAAGAGAAAGGTACACAACTAGAGATTTACAACTTGACTATGAATTTAAAATCTATCAAATACACTTATGTTATGTAATTTCTTGAAGTGTGCCTAGTGTGTCATTTTAGACTTCCATGTCAGTTTCCATAAATCAATTCACAGAGATGCTTTTAGGGCACAACAGAGGTTTGTAGGAGTTGTAGTCCATTTGTCAGCTTCCCATTGTAGATAGCAATCTATCAGAAACCATTGCTGTGCAGACTCTTTTTATATATTTACTATTGACGGTTGCAAAGTTCTCTTTCCTTAAAGGGACACTATAGTCACCAAAACCACTTTAGTTTAATAAATATCTCATGCCCCTGCATTTACGAGTTAAATCCCTTTGTTTATGCTAACCTAGTCACACCTCCCTGCATGTGACTTACACAACCTTCCTAAACACTTCCTGTAAAGAGTCATCTAATGTCTATACTTTCTTTAGTGCAAATCTGGTAATGTAGAATTTCTTATCTCCTGCTCTGTTAATAGCTTGCTAGACCCTGCAGGAGCCTCCCATGTGTGATTAAAGTTCCATTTACATAGCAGGAGTTAAAAACTTTTAAAGTAAGTTACATCAGATTGAAATTTAAACTTTTTTTTTTCATGCAGGATCTGTCAATTAGGGGTGGTGTAGCTAGTGCTGCATGGACAGAACAAAAGCAATTTGACTTCTAAATGTAAATTGAGTGGTGAAACTTCAGAGGCATGAACTATACACCAAAACTGCTTCATTTGTAACTTTAGTGTCCCTTTAAAGGTCTTATTCAACAGAGACTTGCACTCTTCCAACATATATCAATTGCCAACCAATGAGAATAGCAAATGTGGCAAAGTAAGCATTAGTAAATCATTCACTCATTGCACATTAGGTAAAAATGATCTGAAGTACTGGTGTGCAGAAATATAAACTTATTTCTTCCTATCCTGTAAATATCAGGTCAATTTACCAATGTACATATATTATTGTGGTCCCCATACTGACAACTTAATCCATACATCTCATTCTAATGGCTATAATATTTTGTGATATTAAATCATTTGAAATGAAACACAAACCACCATATCTTTAAGGACATAAAATGTATGCCATGATTGCATTTATCAATCTAACACAATATTTAAAAGAAATAATCTACTTGTTTTATATAAGTTAAATGCACAAACGTGCAACATTAAATATCCCCATGTGACAATAGTAATTGCTGTACAATCAATGTCAGGAAAAAAAACTGGTAATACAGTTAGTACAGTGGATAACAGAAGTATAATTATTGTTGAACTTTCCTCCAGTAAAATGTCAGTAGCTGAATTTGACCTCACTTCAGAGTGTGACTTGACCTCAGAGAAGAGTATCCTTTGGGTAAAATGGTTGATCGGGATCCAGAGTAAATCATTGAGTGCTAATGGGTACCTTAAGGGTTCACATGATTGATTGATTGAGTCATCACTGACGAAGTCATCTAGAGAACAACACTAATTGGTGAAAAGTTGGATTGTGGAGATAAAATGTATTCAGACCCTATTCCTGAGATTTAAAATGAGGTTGCATTAAATAGAATTTGAGTTCTACTCTTTATCATTTTACCTAACAGTACGTCTATTCCATTGTTTTGTTTCTAAATGGATGAGAATGAAGAGGTTGGTTTCCATGTTGTCCACAAGCTATTGACTAAGTCATCTAATTCAACTAATTTTAATTCGTATCTCTGAATAATTCTGCTCTGGGAGATAAGAATTCTCCTTGTATAGTCAGTGTTCCAGCAGTTCAGCAGCAGCTTTTTATGCAGAATAAGATTAAAGACATAAATTGTCTTGTATTTTTAGTGTTTATCACTGTCATGCAATGGAGGACTTGTCAAAACTCACAGTGTAAGGCTTCTTTGTCATTCCAACTTTTGTGGTAATCCAATGGAAATTGTATTCAATCAGAAGTATGTGTAAACAATCCTGTAGTCATCGTTAGAACCATGGATTGGCAAGCAACTTGTTAATGCTGCCCATAAAACACATGACATAATTAGAAATTAGATGCAATCAGTAGGATTTGCAGGCCACCCATGTGAATCCCGAATTTCCATAGATTCAGCACTGTGGAAGAATTTGGCGCTTTATAAATACCAATAATATTAATGGAGCCTAATGCTGTTCAGAATCCTCAGGATGTGAAATATGAGCTTTGCATGGAGTAAAGACGATCGATTGGATTCCCCACTCGGGCTTGCAGGCCTCCCACTTCGGATGCTGCAAGTAGACATTCTCCCAAATTGTTAAGAGAAGCTTCATCACTGTCCATATCATGAAAAAGGGTCTCTCCACCTTTAAGAAAGACAACATTGGGCATCAGAATTGTAGTATACCAATTATACTATTATTAATGATTGATTACAAAGAATTAATGTACTCGCAAAGCTGTATAAAAATTAAACGCAAGTGACACCCATTTCTAAATGATATCGACACACTTTCCAGAAAAGTCGAGAACAGAGGATTATTGCACAGTATCATGCTACAGTTCTTTGCTGGACTAGAACTCAAATTCCTCACAGCCAGGGGATAATGTGAATTATAGTCCAGCAATAGCTGGAGGTTTGGAGGTTACTCATCTCAGATTGAAAGAGTTTCAGGTAACCAGAAAAAACAATGTCTAGCCCTGTCTTAACATGATATTCCTAGGTCTAAAAAAAAAAAAACCTGGAATTCAAGATCGGACTAATATTTTACTCATATAAAGTTAACGAAAAGACTCAATGGTTTACTTCATGAGTGAAAGAGAATATTTTTGATGCTTTTAATCCTTTTCACCTGACTGAAATCTAAAGTAGGAAAGAATAAAATTATTCAGACTTTTAGGGGATTATGGATAATAGTGGCAGAATCATATTTAATGCATTTATTTAAGTGCATTCTTTTCCTTGCAATTAGTAATACATCATATAATTCTCTTTGGCTCCTGTCGCAGCATTTTTGTTTGTTTTTTTGTGCTTTCACCATTGACTTGGGTTCTGAATTTTAGTGGTGTCGATGAATAAAATATATGCCTGAAATTGTGAAAATTATTCTGGACAAAATTTACTACCGACACTGTCATAGTTAAGGTACTTTCGTATCAAAAGCAAATATATAGACAGTTGAGGTTTCATTTATGCGTAAGAGAATAGCACAGCCGTGATAATGGAAACAAATATATAATAAAAAAAACACAATAAGATTTTTTCAAAGAATTCCAAAACTTTTCTAAATAAATCCCACCCCTAGCATCATATTTATCGACCTAATAAACTAGAGCAATCCTGGGAATGACACATTACATTCTGAAGCCCAACATTGTTGTAGTTTTACAACTCATAGTTACATAGTTTCATAGTTACATAGTTACATAGCTGAAAAGACACTTGCATGCATCAAGTTCAGCCTTCCTCAGATATGTTTTTGCTGTTGATCCAAAAGAAGGCAAAAAACCCAGTCTGAAGTGCTTCCAATTTTGCAACAAACTAGAAAAAAATTCCTTCTTGACCCCAAAATAGCATTCAGAGATCTCCTTGGATCAAGCAGCTATCACCCCACTAATTAGAAATCATATCCCTGTATGTTGTGTTTTTGCAAGTATTTATCCAATTGCAGTTTAAACATCTGTATAGACTCTGACAAAACCACCTCTTCAGGCAGAGAATTCCATATCCTTATTGCTCTTACTGTAAAAAAACATTTTCTTTGCCTTAGATGAAATTGCCTTTCTTACAGCCTAAATGTGTGACCTCGTGTCCTATGTATAGCCCTGTTTATGAATAGATTTCCAGATAAAGGTTTGTACTGGCCCCGAATATATTTGTATAATGTTATCATATCCCCTCTCAGGCGCCGTTTTTCCAAACTAAACAGATTTAAATTTTTTAACCTTTCTTCATAACTAAAATGATTATTTCCTTAACAACTGCAGATTGACATTACATATTGCTGTTTAATTTGTTGTCTATAATAATTCCCAAATCCTTCTCGTGTGTGGTTATCCCTAATTCCCTAACATTTAGGGTGTAAATTGCTTGTGCATTCTTAACCCCGAAGTGCATAACTTTGCATTTCTCTATGTTAAATTTCATCTGCCATTTTAGTGCCCAGTCCCCCAATTCATCCAAATCCCTCTGCAGCAAAACAATATTCTGCTCACATTTTATTACTCGACAAAACAACGATCGTATTTATAAATGTAAAATGGAGTAATCGAATCTCATATTGACTTTTGAACATTGTTTACAAATATAATTATTTCGTTATATATATATATTGTACATGTTTTTGTGAGTGTGACATTGCATAAAATAAGAGTAAAGATAAGTGACCCAAGCAAGGTAAGTTAAAAGGTAAACAGTGGAATTGGCAAGGTAAGGTAAAAGGTACAAATGCTGGAGAGGGCTTCGGGAAAAGACTGTTTCGGGGCACATGAGAAAAATGAACTGAGGATGGTAAGATGATAAAAAGTCTTCCACGTCCGGAAGATCGAATCAGTTGTTGAAGGTGACGAGGATTTATTCAATGAAACACATGTGTAATGAGATAAATCTAGATCCCATTGTCACTGACATAGAATCCTACCGTATGGATGCATGTGATCTCCTGGCATTTGTGGTGGAGTGAGTCCTTGCTGGAACGGGTCAGAAGTGTAAATGTTTTGCTCAACAGAGAGGAGTTGTTGTTGAGGCAACGATGTGAAGACATTCATGATGCCTTCAATGCTGGCATTTCCAGAAATATGTGTTTGAGCTGAAAATTTACCAAAGACAATATGAGCATATAAGTGAATGTAACTTTATTCCTCAATAGCATTTATTTACAAGGCAGCAAATCCCAAAAACCTGATATTACGGTGTTACTGCAGTTTGAACTCATTACTGGCACGTAGCAGAATATGTGAATGCACTAGCAATTCAACTGTGCCAACAATCTGTCAACAGAATCCAGTGTAATGGTCCATAAAAAAATATTGTACTGCAAAGTTAGAATTTGAAATATACAAAACAGGGTTAACAGATAACATTTTAAATACCAATGGAATTTAGGATAAACGTTTGAATGAACAGGTAACTGATGTAGCATGGAAATCATAGTTACATATTAATATTGACAATAAAAAGAAGCCAGGTCTGTCATGCTCAACCATGTACACATGTCAGGTTCTGCAATTTTAAGAATGATTACACTAAGTTTTGTTTTGTTTTTTAAATCCATCTTGACTCCAAAAAGGCAATCAATTTTGTTGGATCAGCAAGCAAACAATATATCCCATGTGATAATTTACCTAATAGTAAACTCAAATATATTGAGAAATATTTATCAAAAAGTTCTGAAAAGTGAGAGTTTATTAAAGTGTTCAAAAAATGTTTTAAAAAGTGATGGTTTTCTCTATAGTAAATTCTACCACTTTCCACAGAAATTTTTAATCTAGGAGGAGGTTAGATTTAGAATGATGAAGTGAAATAAAACACCTTACTGTTGGAAAAGGGGAAGGATTTTCAAAAACCTGTTGTGTCACTGGAATAATTGCATTTACTCAGACTTGACAGGTAGGGTTCAAACAAAGCAACAGTTGAAAAAATTGAATTAATTTAATTTAATACATTGCACCAAAATTTCCAATAAATTTGACATAAAAATGTTGGTCGCACTTTGATAAATATCACCCATTTAGTGAAATGAAGAAAATCAACAGTTAATAATTTTCAAAAAAAATAACTTAATTAATACATAAATAAAATAATAAATAAAACACCTACACGTCTGCGCGAGTTCACTATTAATAGCTATATTGCTGTTGCGTTACCCCTGAGTTTATCTCCTGGGTTGTGTCTTCTTTGAACTCAAAATGGACTTAACTCAGAAATATACAAATAATCTCTATGAATAATATGCTAAAGCCATTTGAGAAACAATTGACTTGAGCTCCATCAATCTTAGTACCTAATGCGTAGCCAAAAAACAAATTCAACTTGGAAGATATTAAAGAGTTCAACCTGAAAAATTAAGGAAAACAACTAAAAATGACCTCGGTCGAGTGCATACGCCAAGTTCTCCATGCACCCAATTCTTCTCCACAGGTGTCATTCACCTTGCTGGAGAGGGAAGGATGTCAGGTAGGGATGTAAGAAAAGGCGGCCTGACGGGACGACACATAAGCGGCAGATGCTAAATTTGCACAGAATTCACTCTTGTTCTGGGTTGGCAAATGATGCCCCAAAGACAGAGGTGGAGGTGAAGTTCCACCTCCAGCAGCTGTGAGTTTAATCTCCATTTTTGCAGTGTTTCAGAGCAAAAAGCTACACATACAGAGTCCAGGCACCAAAACCACTACAGATCACTGAAGTAGTCGCAATGCTTGGAGTAAACGTTTACGTTTTCTTTTTTAGAGTCAGAATATGTATATTTATTTAAGAATTGATGGTCTCTCATTTCCACATCACGTAGTATTGTTAGTACCTGAAGTTATTCGTGCTGAGTTTGGTTGATCCTGCTGCTGTTGCTGCTGTTGTTGTTGCCTCCTTGCCAGTTTTTTCATCTGTTAAAAATAAAGCAAAATAACAGGATCATGAATCACTTAAAACTGATGCCATATGGTGTATAAACCTTACAATGTTTATAATGCAATCACAGCGAATGAGCTGATTAGATAGCTGTTCTGTATTGGAATTCTCTTCTGTTTATTTAGTATTTTTCTTCCATAAGGTGTCTTAATGCAATAGTTACACAATGAATTAAAATAGGGGATCATCTTCAGTCTGGCATGTCCCTTCGATTACTGTAATCATAAAACTACCCGAAAGGGTTTACTCAAAGCACCATAACCACTTCAGTGATTTGAATTCCACGGTGCCTGGAATCTGTATGTGAAGTGTTTTGGGGTGTCATTAGACAGCTAGAAAATAGAACTTGGGGCCGGTTAATGTCAATTCTATGCACATTCCCCTACACAGAATGTCACTGATTGGCCAAAATTGCTTAGGCTGATGCTCTCAACCAATAAATGACAACGGCATCGCATCACCAAAGCAGCAGAGAGCTTCTGAGTCCTGCAGGGAACCAAGTAAGAGTGCAAACCATTGCAAAATGGTTTGCCCATTAACAAGCCCATTATAACGCTTAGAGTAACCCCTTCAGATTGGTATCATTGATATGTGGTGTGTGTTACACATTGCATATGTGCTAATAAAACAACAAGTCCAAATCTTGATGTCCAGGGGTGTGAGTTGTAGAAGCTAATGGATTTACACAAACATTTTATATAAATGAAGACTTAGACAGCAGATTTTGGATGACCTCTGTCATACAGTGAAGGGGGAAAAGCAGGTGTTTGGATACTTACTTTAGCCCTCTGATTCTGGAACCAGACTTGTACCACTCGTACACTGAGCCCAGTTTCAGCAGCTAGTGTTTCCCTCACCTACACAAAGAAACATTCAGATATCAGTCATTATGACAACGTATTAATATGGGGACAATATCTTTACATACAAATGTGTAGACATGTATGTGTAGGAATGTATTCTATGCTAAACTTTGGGTAAAGCATGACATACAGTACCTCATATTCCAGCATTTGATCTAAGCTTGCATGTTTAGATTTAGTATTATACAGTTACACTGCAGGCTATAACGTGAACATTGCTTTTTAGTAAATAATGATATATTTCTCTAATAAAATATTCACCCTCCAATAATCAAAGTACAAATGCACATGCGCAGCCCACTGCTCACTTCCTTATTCTGGAATGAGACAAAGACCAAAGTGGTGTGTTCAGTGTGCAGACACAAAACTTGGACAAAATGAACACAAACAAGTAAGAATCCTCAATTTATCACGGTGTGGATGTTTTAACTTGTATGCTGTACTCAAGTTTTCAATTCACAGAAATATTTAGTAAATAAACCTCAATGTGTACTCTCAGTAGCCATATGATATCTACTATAAATATTTATTTTTATACTCAAACTATGAAGCTTTTAGTTATATTTGGTATATTTTCAGCAATCTCATTTTATACTTTGGATTTCATAAGAAATATTTTTGAAATGCACTTTTCATAAATTCGATATGGTAAGCTACTTTGAGTTTTATTTTGTTGCTAAGGAACTAATTATTTATTTATGTAATTATCAGGGGACTTTTTATTTATTTATTTATTTTTAAATTGAGTACTGGATTGACACTTTTTAGAAATATTTGCACACAAAAAAAAAAAACATAGTTGAGATTGCACTTTATAAGATTGGCACTTTAAGAAGGTATTCATATACATTAGTAACACATTAAAATAATCACTAAGTGCTCCACCATAACATCTTACAAATTTATTTTATTACTATTCATCTGATTAACCGATCGTTTTTAAGAAATGTTGCGACAATTTTACCTTCCGGCATGGTTTTGAAGATACTTCAAAGGAAGCTTTAAATGCCCTGCGTTGTTGTGTTGTTAAAATGGTTCTTGGTCTCTTGGGCCGTTTCTGGTCTTTGCCATCTTCTGCTCCTTTGCAGTCATCGATTTTGGCTGCATCTTCATCATCATCACTTTTACCTAAAATATAAATATATAGTCAGAAAGGACATTTATATGACTGCTTGGGTTATGATCTCAGAGGGACACTCCATTTCCCAAATACAAGAAAGATTTTTTTTTTAAAACACTCTATAATAGATGTACCCACAATAAAGACGTGCATTCATTTAATTAGACATTTTTCAGATCTCTTATCTGCTGCCCTTGCAAGTCATGCTCTTCTCCCACAGCCCAGACTTTCTGTGGCTGTCCAATCACAGACTTCCCAATCCCTCTCAATGAAAAGTCTTTGCAAGGCACATGCTCTGAGCAATTGAGTTAAGCTCAACTGAGAAGAGTAACCAGGAAGTAACTGGACCAGTTGTCTGATTGACAGCCAAAGGGGTGTAACAAGGTCACATAGTTACATAGGCTGAAAAGAGACATGTGTGCATCAAGTTGAGCCTTCCTCACATTTGTTTTTTGCTGTTGATCAAAAAGAAGGCAAAAAAAATCCAATTTGAAGCCCTTTACAACAAACTAGGAAGAAATTCCTTCTTGACCCCAGAATGGCTGTCATATTTATACTAGGATCAAGAAGCTATTACCCTACAGTTAAACATTATAGAATTGAATATTATGTTTTTGCAAGTATGCATCTAGTTGCTGTTTAAGCATCTGTACGGACTCTGATAAAACTACTTCTTCGGGCAGAAAATTCCACATCCTTATTGTTCTTATGGTAAAAAAAAAATACCCTTTCCTTTACCTTATAAAACTGCAATTTTCTGGACTTTTGGTAAAATGAAAAAAGAGAACATACTCTTCACACATAAAGTACTTTAACAAGCTAAAGTGCTTTACGAATCTGGAGTGTTGACCATTGGATGCACAATATCATCCAGGATTCGTCAGCATGGTACAACAGCAGTAGCCTCTATGATAACATTTAGCTCAATGTTATTAAAGTTATGTTAGAATCATAATGTTTTTGACAGTCTTTGAAATGTACAAATACACATACTTGCAAAAAAAAATGAGGGAATTATTTAAGTCCAAGGGTGGATCCCTAGGCAACCCTATCACACTGTTTATTTTGTTTAATTTGTTTTTCTGAAAATAATCTCTCCTTTATGAAACAACAGTGTGGTATTGCTTAAAATTGTGGTTTCTTTAAAAAATCATTCAAAGCGGCCTTACTCTGGACAATAAAATTCATGTATTTCAGTAATCATGTGTACTAAAGACTTCACTTTCACTCCTGACACTGGCAATTAAAATGTTAATGTTTAATAGAGAATATTCGTTTGCGGAGGCATTTCAATATTTCCTGCAAGCACATTTTGTATGGAAATGATTAAGAATTATATACAAACCTGATTAATATTTCAGTTTCTAAATTACATGTAATGGAACATAAATCATTAATATTTTTATTCCTGAGATCCACTACAGCCAAGATAAGAAGGATATGATACATTAATTAAAATTAGCTAATTTATATATCCAAGGGACTATTATGAGGATTATATTGTAGGCTTCCTTACTAAATTTATTAGATTATGGAGTGATAACAGGGTTCCTCAAATAAATCAACCCATTTGGTATTTGGAATAGAAATAGACAGTAGACTTGCAGGGTTCTATGGGTTTTTGCCTGTCTTTAACTCTGAAGGGTATTAATGCAGTTGGAATGATTGATGTAACTCTGGATCAACTGATCAGTGAGATTTTGAAATTGGTAAACTGTTATGATTCCCTCTTTACCCCATAATGAGAAGGCATAGGTTGATTAGCCCTTTTGGAATATTCCATCTTATACTTAGAATTCTCCAGTTGACGTAAGGGACCAGAAAAACTGATAATAAGAGAAATGGTTTGGGTGTATGTAATATTGCTTTCTAGGAAAAGGGGGGCAAAGAAGGCAGAAGTAAGAGCAGTGTCTGTAGATTTATCATTAAATTAACCCCTTAAGGACCAAACTTCTGGAATAAAAGGGAATCATGACATGTCACACATGTCATGTGTCCTTAAGGGGTTAAAGTATAATTCATTAGTAGCTAATCTATTGCATGTTTTGTCAGAGATGTAACATTAGGGATATGAAGACCTCCTAGATGTCTTGTTAAATATTTATTTATTTATTTTTAAATCACATTTTGTGGGCAAAGGGGTTCCACAAAAATGTTCAGGAAACCTCATGACTTGTCTTGTTTTTAAAGAACACAATATGTTTTTAAACAAGATAGGTACATAACATGATACTGCTACTGGAGAAAGTTTCTGGATACCAAATCATACAAGAGTAAATAAATGACATACAAGTGTATTTGGTAAATGTGAATAAAGTCATCACATTACAGTATAAAGGGGAGATAGCTAGAGCAAAGAACACAGTACGTGGAGATACAGGAAGAGATAACCTTGAAACCATGAGCCATTACCAGATATGGGATTCACTACAAGGGGAGAATAGTGAGTTATAATGGCAGAGAGAAACAGACACTTATATCTCGTTTATCTTAAGAGAACCTGCAGTAGGTACAGTATGCTTAGGAATGTAATACATTCGAAAAGATTAGCTCTGCCCAAAAGTGAGATGAGAAGGAACGAAGAAAGGTACAATTCTGCATCTGCTACACAAAGTAGGAGAGGGGATATAATATTGTTACATGATTGTGTGTTGACCTAACAATGTATGTTAAGCATGACTCACACTGAAAACATCACAAATGACAATATCTTAGAGTGATAAAATTTGTTATATTAAATATGGAAAACTGATGCAAGTGAACAAAAGCTCAAAATTGTATATTTTATATATAATATTTTAGATGAAAATAACTGAACTCATAAGATGTAATACTGACAAATTTCAAGTTTATTGCAAATAGATTGTGAATGACATTTTAGTTTGTATAATTTAATAAATGCTGAATTTTTGCTATATTGAAAAAATATGTGACCCGAAATGCGCACCACCAGTGGATATAAGCAAACATGAAAAGGTAAAAATTACCCTTTTTAGTATACTGCGGAAAGTAAGAAGACTACTCCAAATCTCCGAATAAAATATATATGTAAATACAATCTACAATAAAATACAGAGAAAAGCACAAATAGTGTAATACTGTTAGACACCATAAAAGGCGTTCGTGAATATATTGCACTCACAAACTGGAGATTGATAGTAGGCATATAACAGCAGCACTGCAGCACCTTCTTTCCTTCACTCCATTTATGATACAAACACATAGTGCAAACTGAAAGTAAAATCTAAATTTATTACAAGTTGCACTCATAAGATCAAGTAAAATGATAAGATCATCAATAAATACTTCACCCAGGCCGAAGGAAGAGATCAAATCCCAGATCAAATCAGATCAAAGTGTAAATAAAAATAAAATAAAAATATAAAAACTAGGACTTGGATTCTATTGAAACGCAGGAAGCAATGAATGAAAACAGATTCTTCAAACGAAGACTCCGCTCTGGATTGGCTGATGGCATTTCAGGGCGGTAAGAGATACATTTAAATGGAATCACAGCATACATAGGTCATAGAGACACAGCAGAGCCCCTAACGAAGTCCCCAGCAGGACGAAATGCGTAGGGCCAGGAGAGACATACCTTTTCACTTTATTTTTATTTTTATTTTTTTATTTTATTTATTTATGTTTCCTGATTTTGCTTTTATTAACCCCACCTTTGGACTTGGATCACCTCTTGTCACATCATGCTATGTTCTGCAGAGAAGTCTGGCCTTGGCTTCTGGTATCCAGTACTCTTTTTACAATTCTTGTTTAGTTTTTCTTGGTTTTTCTGGTTTTCTATTCCATGTCTGGTTTTCTTTATGCTGGGTTTTTCTGGGTTAATTCCTGTAATCCGTCCATGGAATTCCCAGTGTCCAGGTTTCCTTTAAATGTTTGTTTTATGTTGCCACACCCGTTTGTTTTCCATCATTCCTTTTCTTTCAGTGTCCCTGCAGGCAGCTGCTCAAGTCTTCTGCCCTTTCTTGCAGGTAAGTACTATGTGTGTTTTCTTTGGTTGGTTTAGTTTGCATTAGGCAGAGTAGGACCTGCCAGATATGGAGTACATTGGCGTTGTTGGTGTAACGAGAATATACCCCAACACGCAGGATTCAGCTAAACAGAAGACAACACAGAGGAGAGATACGTCTACCGGACCTTAGAATGGCCGGACTTGATGTATATGAGAGGAGACAGAGTCAGGAATGATCCGAAATCAAGGGCACAGAGAGACAGCGTAAACTAGGACAAGCCGGGGTCTGGTACACAGTAATCATTAAGCCGACAACCAGAACAGATAAGGATTAAGAGAAAACGTAGTCAGAAACAAAGCCAAAGTCAATACGGAGAAACACAACTGAACACAACAAGCGCTAAAGGGAACTGATACAGAAACCACGATAGGGCAGGGAGTAAAGGGAGAGGTAAGTTTAAATAGCTTCAAAACTAATGTGATTGGCTCCTGTCATATCCACACCCCCAAAAGGTAAGTGTATGGGGAGTGTGGCATGACAGGGGCCAATGGGAGCCTTTTGACAATTTAGGCTCCCACTGTCTCTTTAAGAGCGCGCCCGAGACTCGCGGCGCGCTCTTAGATTCAGGCGGGACACGTGACCGCTTCTCGCGGTCACTGCCCGCCTTGCTAGTGGAGCTGTCGGATGAGCCGCGCGCGGCTCGTGCAGCAGCAGGACCGCGCGCGGCTTGAAGAGAGGACCGCGGCCGGCCCCTGGATAAGGTGAGTAACGCTACAGTACCCCCCCCTGAGGACACGCCCTCCGGGCGGGTAGGGCCAGGCCTGGCAGGAAAACGAGAATGGTAAGAACGCACAAGGCGGGGAGCGTGAACAGCATCAGCTGAAATCCAACTGCGCTCCTCAGGCCCATAACCCTTCCAATGCACCAAGTACTGAAGTCGACCCCTAAGGTAACGAGAGTCAAGAACAGCAGAGACTTCGAATTCCTCATGACCCTCCACGGAGACAGGAGGGGGAGGCGGAGAATGCCGGGTATAGCGGTTGCGTACGTAAGGCTTTAACAACGAAGTGTGAAACACATTAGGAATACGCAGATTCCTAGGAAGACCCAAGGCGTATGAAACAGGATTAACCTTATGCAGTATACGATAAGGACCTATGAAGCGGGGAGCCAATTTCATAGAAGGCACCCGCAGGCGAATATTCCGCGTGGAAAGCAAAACCCTGTCCCCCACAACATAAGTAGGAGCCGCCCTGCGATGCTTGTCAGCCTGAGCCTTCTGGCGAGCAGCGGAATCCACCAAAGAACGCTGAACCTGCTCCCAAGTATTACGCAAACCAGCCAAATGCTCATCCAGAACTGGCATGCCCTGTGAGGAGAATGCAGCCGGAAGAACAACGGGATGCTGGCCATAGACAACGTAAAAAGGGCTTTTGCCGGAAGAATCATGAGTGGCATTATTTCGAGCAAACTCAGCCCAAGGAAGTAGGTCAGACCAATTGTCCTGATGGTGAGACACAAAACAACGAAGGTACTGCTCCAGAGACTGGTTGGCACGTTCAGCAGCTCCATTAGACTGGGGATGGTAAGCGGAAGAAAATGAGAGGGAAATACCTATTTCTGAGCAAAAGGCTTTCCAGAACCTGGAAATAAATTGACTACCCCTATCGGACACGATAGATACAGGAATACCATGTAACCGAAATACTTCTCTAGCGAAGATAAGAGCCAGTTCCTTGGATGTGGGCAACTTGCGAAGAGACACAAAGTGAGCCATCTTGGAAAACCGATCTACTATCATCAGGATGACTGTGTTACCATTCGAAGGGGGTAATTCAACAATAAAATCCATGGATAGGTTAGACCAAGGTCTCTCGGGAACTGGTAAGGGATGCAGAAGCCCACAAGGAACTCTACGAGACGTTTTCATACATGCACAAGTAGTACAAGCACTTATATAGTCAGTGACATCCTTACGTAAGGAACCCCACCAAAAATATCGAGAAATGGCTGACATCGTTTTGGTAATACCAGGATGTCCAGCAGTCTTAGTATCATGATATAATGACAGAATCTCCCGTCTCTCGGGAACATCAACAAACAATTTATCAATAGGCCTCTCGCTAGGTGCCATACTTTGTTTCGCCTGTATGGTCTGCAAGAGGGATGAAGAAATAGACAACATAGTAGTGGCTATTATCCTGTCTGGGGGAATGACAGGAGTAACATCAACCTCCTGTTTGTCAGTAGTTTCGAACTGTCTGGACAGAGCATCTGCTTTAATGTTGCGATCACCTGGCCTATAGGTGATAATATAATTGAAACGGGACAAAAATAGTGACCATCTAGCCTGCCTAGAAGATAATCTTTTAGCTTCACCAAGGTAGGATAGATTCTTGTGATCTGTAAAAATTAGAATAGGATCCTTAGTTCCTTCTAACAGATGTCTCCATTCTTTAAGGGCTAAGATAATAGCAAGGAGTTCACGATTACCCACATCATAATTCCTTTCAGCTTTGGACATTTGTCTAGAAAAGAAGCCACAAGGATGCAATCAGGGCCGGATTAACATAGGGGCTGATGGAGCTGCAGCTCCAGGCCCAGGCCCATGGAATAGGCCCATTGATTTAAAAAAAAAATATATATATATATATATATTTTTTTTTACAATTTTTTTTCACATACTACTCTTTGGGATTCCACCTGGCTTTTATTTTATTGACACAGCCAGTATTTGAGGCTGCCTGGCTGGTGCCAATATTGCAGTGATACTGGCAATACAAATGCTGGTATTTTTCTCAGTATAAACAAGAGATTACTATGCAATACCAGCACTGGCCAGTAGGGGTCGCTGTGTGTGGAGACAGGCAGGGATAGGAAGTTTCAGCATATCCCTCCCTGCCTATCTATACTCACTGATCTGTAGGGGTGCAGCTATAGAGAGTCCAGACAGCAACTCCCACCCTGCAGAGACAGCCTACAGCTCAGGGAAGTAAGGGATGGGGAAAGGCTGCAAGGAGACATACACTGAGACACTAAGGGGCATTGGGAGACATTATGGCAGACACTGAGACACTAAGGGACATTGGGAGACATTATGGCAGACACTGAGACACCAAGGGACCTGGGAGATATTATGGCAGACACTGAGACACTAAGGGACACTGGGAGACATTATGGCAGACACTGAGACACTAAGGGACACTGGGAGACATTATGGCAGACACTGAGACACTAAGGGACACTGGGAGACATTATGGCACAGACACATGGGAACACAGTGTCTCCATGTCTCCCAGACAGTGTCCCTGGTGTCTCAGTGCCCCCTAGTCTCCCAGTGCCCCCAGTCTGCCAGTGTCTCACTGTCCCCCAAGCCATCAGGCTTTTTGCTGTAAGCACGGTCTTTTCAGAGAAAATGCTGTGTTTACATTACAGCCTAGTGATAACTTCACTGGCCACTCCTTAGATGACTGTTAGAGATCCTTCCTGGGTCATGGCTGCCTAAAATGAATCCAAACATTCAGTGTCTCCTCCCTCTGCATGCAGACACTGAAATTTCCTCATAGAGATTCATTAATTAAATTCATCTATATAAGGAGATGCTGATTGGCCAGGGCTGTGTTTGAATCATGCTGGCTCTGACCCTGATCTGCCTCTTTGTCAGTCTGAGCCAATCCTATGGGGAAGCACTGTGATTGGATCAGGCCACCACTTCTAATGATGTCAGCAGACTGTTTGTTTTTATGAGTCTAACAGCATGCTGAGTTACAGCTTCAGGCTTGAATATAGTAGGATTTTGCTATATGGGGGGCCAGATGGGGGGCCAGATGGTGGTGTTAACACTATAGGGTCATGAATTAATGTTTGTGTTCCTGACCCTATAGTGATCCTTTAAGGTAATGCTGACTTTTTATCTCTCTAACACTGTGGCATGTTCCCTTTCTTCTACATTCACTACATACAGCTTTTGCTGTCCCAGACCATATACCAGGAGTTTCTGCCTGCCAGTAAGAAGGTAAGGAGACAAGTGGCCAGCGAGTGCTAGGGGACAGTCCTTAGAAAGCGTTGAGTGAGCGCATCATTAGATGCATTTATGCCAAGCTCAGGGTGCTGTCTGCATAGTATGCCCTTAGTTGGCCAGCTGCATGATTGGCAGGCAGCCTGACATGCATTCATGCCAGGCTGGCCTTCTAATTCTTTGAGCAGACATGTCCTCTTTTTGGGCATGTTCGCCCCTTTTGGCAGGTTACGTGATTTGGGTCAGTGGCACACCCTTTTACCGTGCCCATTGACTTCCTGCTTGACTGGACACTGCTGTTAGGGGTTATGTATTTACTTGAAATATGAAAACATAAATTAGTGAGAGATTAGACTAGGGTATGTGTTTTCTTATAGCTGCTGTTTTCTTTCTCTCCAGCACCATCTCCATCAGATACATGACGCTTGGGAGTGTTTTACTGTTTTTGGTCAATATGATTCTGTAATTAGGCCCGTCATAATTGTCAGCACCAGGCCCACTGGGCTCTTAATCTGGCCCTGGATGCAATGGCTTTTCAGGCGATTCTCTTTGGGACAAAACAGCACCTACCCCGATTTCAGAAGCATCAACTTCAAGAATATAAGGCAGTGAGGGGATAGGGTGCTGTAAAATAGGTGCCGAGGCGAATGTAGTTTTAAGAAAGTCGAAAGCCTGAAGTGCCTCCGGAGACCAGACACGAGTATTACCACCCTTTTTTGTCATACGGGTGATAGGTGCTACAATAGAAGAAAAACCCTTAATAAAGCGTCTATAATAGTTAGAGAAACCAAGAAAATGTTGAATTGCTTTCAAACCCTGTGGCAGAGGCCACTCTATAACCGCAGAAAGCTTCTGGGGATCCATACGAAACCCTTTGGCGGAAATCAAATACCCCAAGAACTGGACTTCGGATTGGTCAAATAAACATTTTTCTAGTTTACAGTAAAGACCATTATTAAGAAGGGTATTCAATACCGTTGTGACATGCCTGTGATGAGTGTGTAAATCTGTAGAATATATCAATATGTCGTCCAAGTATACAATTACAAATGTGTGAATAAAGTCTCTTAGGACGTCATTAATAAATTCCTGAAATACTGCTGGGGCATTGCAAAGACCAAATGGCATAACAGTATATTCGTAATGACCGGATCTAGTGTTGAATGCGGTCTTCCATTCGTGACCTTCCTTTATGCGTATTAAATTGTATGCACCTCTAAGGTCCAATTTGGTGAACACAGTAGCATGTTTTAGCCTGTCAAATAACTCTGTAATTAAAGGTATAGGGTATGCATTTTTTATAGTGATTTTGTTTAGACCTCTATAATCGATGCACGGTCTTAAATCACCCTCTTTCTTAGATACGAAGAAAAACCCTGCTCCAGCCGGAGAAGAGGATCTCCTAATGAACCCCTTTTCTAGTGATTCTTTAACATACTCCTCCATGATACGGTTTTCTTGAATAGATAAGGGGTACACCCTGCCCTTAGGAGGTATAGTGCCAGGCAATAAATCGATAGCACAATCATAGGATCTGTGAGGCGGTAATTTATCAGCTTCCCTTTTATCGAATACAGTCTTGAGAAACAAGTATTGAGGAGGTATAACAGTAGACAAAGGAGGAGTGGTAGGAACATTAATGGTATTTAAAGGGGTGACTTTAATCATACAAGAGTCGTGGCAGGTTTTACCCCATGATTTTAATTGTCCCAATTCCCAGTCAAAAATGGGATTGTGAGAACACAACCATGGGTACCCTAACAAGATATGAGAAGAGGGAGAGGTGATAACCTGAAACCGAATGGTCTCAAGGTGTAAAACCCCTGTGTACATGAATAATGGTACAATTTCATGGGTAACGACTGGAGTATTTAAAGGTCTACCATCTATGGCCTCAATGGCCAAGAGTATCTCCCTTTCTCTGACGGGAATGTTATTTTTCGTAACAAACTCAGAGTCAATGAAGTTCTCAGCAGCCCCAGAATCAACCAAGGCTAGTATGCATTCTGCTATACAACTCACCCCCGTATGAAGGGAAACAGGGAGAAGCAAACGATTAGGAGGCAATTTAGGAGACTTAGAGATCACACCCAAGGCCAGTCTTAGGTGCGAGAGTTTTCCGGACGCAAAGGACATTCCCTTACCATATGGTCTCGCCTACCACAGTATAGGCAGAGTCCATTCCTTCTTCTAAGTAGTTTTTCAGTATCCGAGAGTTTGGCAACCCCTAATTGCATGGGTTCCTCCTCGGTACTTTAACACTCTCAGGTTTATCAACTCTGGGGTTAATAGATGTGACCAGACGTCTATTCTTGTTTTTGGTATAGAGCCTGTCGCGAATTCTATTATCTATATCAATGAGGTAGTCAATAAGATCCTCTAATGGAATAGGAAGCTCCCTTGCCGCTACCTCATCTAATATAGTGTCAGATAAACCTTCCATGAACGCAGTAGTTAACCCATTATTGGTCCAATCTACCTGTGAAGCAAGGGTACGAAACTGAATAGCATAATCCGCCACAGACCTAGACCCCTGTTTAATCCTCATTAATGCCCTTGCGGCATTCTTTGACCTCTTTGTTGTGTCAAAAGTTCTACGAAAAGCTGTAAGAAAATAGGCCTCCCAAATAGGATTTGCCCACTCAAGTGCTTTGTCAGTAAGTTGATGCATCAAAAACCCCACTTTAGACCTATCAGTGGGAAAGGAATGAGGATACATCTCAAGGTGGAATTCTATTTGATTAATAAAACCTCTGCATGTCTTGGCTTCCCCTCCGTACCTAGGAGGAGGTGTTAAATGGGGCGAAGAATTGGGTGAATTGGATACTTCAGGAGGATGAGGTGTAGGAGGGTTAGGTGCGGTTGCAGGAATGGTTCTAGACAAGAGCGTCTGGAGAGCCTGTGCTATCTGATCCATACGGTGATCCTGCTCTACAAACCTTGCCTCATGAGAAGCCATTTGCTGAGCCAAATCTGCGGGGTCCATGGCCCTATCGTAATGTAACGAGAATATACCCCAACACGCAGGATTCAGCTAAACAGAAGACAACACAGAGGAGAGATACGTCTACCGGACCTTAGAATGGCCGGACTCGACGTATATGAGAGGAGACAGAGTCAGGAACGATCCGAAATCAAGGGCACAGAGAGACAGCGTAAACTAGGACAAGCCGGGGTCTGGTACACAGTAAACAGCAAGCCGACAACCAGAACAGATAAGGATTAAGAGAAAACGTAGTCAGAAACAAAGCCAAAGTCAATACAGAGAAACACAACTGAACACAACAAGCGCTAAAGGGAACTGATACAGAAACCACGATAGGGCAGGGAGTAAAGGGAGAGGTAAGTTTAAATAGCTTCAAAACTAATGTGATTGGCTCCTGTCATATCCACACCCCCAAAAGGTAAGTGTATGGGGAGTGTGGTATGACAGGGGCCAATGGGAGCCTTTTGACAATTTAGGCTCCCACTGTCTCTTTAAGAGCGCGCCCGAGACTCGCGGCGCGCTCTTAGATTCAGACGGGACACGTGACCGCTTCTCGCGGTCACTGCCCGCCTTGCTAGTGGAGCTGTCGGATGAGCCGTGCGCGGCTCGTGCAGCAGCAGGACCGCGCGCGGCTTGAAGAGAGGACCGCGGCCGGCCCCTGGATAAGGTGAGTAACGCTACAGTTGGCAGGCTTATGCAATGTATGATCATATAATGTAACTAAATACCCCATGATTTTCATATATAGTGCTTAGTTATTTCTCCTCTTGTTTTGCCATTCATATCTTGTCTTGTTTTAGTTTGTATTCCCAGTCCATGTCCAGTCCTGTCCAGTCCTGCCCATGTTATGTCAATGTTTCCCTTATGTATTGTGTACATGTTCTGGGTTTAGCTTCCTATCCTTCTCTGGTTCTGGGTTCTACTAATTTTGTCTTGTTTTCATCTTTATCTTGTTTTCAGGTGACTATCCTAGCTTTGCCTTGTTTCTGTACTGGATATTTTTTTGCTGCAGAGCCTCCCTATTCAGCTCCTGGGAGGTCTGCTTATTTCCAAGCTTCTAGTTCCTGGGATCTGCATAAGCTGAATCAGGGTTTTGGCTTGTGCCTGCACAAACGCTGGTGCTCAACACCAGGGGGCGTGCGGTTACCCTGCACCAGACCCTGCTAATCCACGTCCACACTGTGACTCGTACTTATAACATCAGGCATACTGGGTCCCGGTCCATGCACCGCCACCCGGACAGTGTCTGGGTCCCGGGCACTGGACCGCCACCCTGACACCTCTACACTGTTCCAGGGGATTTGATCTCTTCCTTCGGACTGGGTGAAGTGTTTATTGATGAGCTTATCATTTTAATTGATCTTATGAGTGTAACTTTTAATACATTTTGATTTTACTTTTATACACTTTGCATTGTGTTTGTATACTATTAATCTCCAGTTTGTAAGTGCAATATATTCACGAACCCCTTTTATGGTGTCTAACGGTATTACACTATTTGTGATTTTTTTTCTGTATTTTATTGTAGATTGTATTTTTATATACCATTTTGCTTTGTTTGCATATATTTTGGAGAACTACAGTATGTAGCAACAATAGCATTGTACTGCGCTATCTATGGTTGTGAATGGATTTTGTTTTTTAAGGTAAATCATTATGAGAAATTCAGTAATCAATCAACCTTGCTTAGTTGAGTATAGGATTTCCATAGTCTAAAAAAGGCCCAGATTCATAAAACTATTTTGAAACAACAGTTCTTCTCACGCATTATGTATATAACCTGATATAAGAAGGTGGTTGACAGATAAATCCAGTCAATAAAAGGGACGTTGCAGCTTACAGAGAGTCAAAATGAATCCCCATTGTTAATTTCTTTCACTGGTTCATTATGTCCCAGGAGAAACATTTAGGATTAAAGAAGGTGGCTAACCAGTTCTCGCCATGATAACAGACTGTCCTTTATCAATAAGTCTGCTACACAAACTGCAGGTCTGTAAATCTACCTAACAACGCACTGAGCAGCCGAGATAGGCTGAGAAAGAGCAAACAGTATAAAAGCCGATTGCTTACACACTGGTCCCCTAATATTCGCCAGCTTGTCACCACCTGCTACAAAGAATCGCAGGCTTACAGAAAATGTAGACAGCTAATAAAACCAATGCAAATTCAACAAGGAGAGACTTAGTTTTAATTAGCAAGATCTCTGCATCTTTAAATGTCTCAGGCACTAGATGTGGCACTTAATTAAGCCTTAACCCTCTTTCTTTAGTCCGGAGTAAGAAGTTGAAAACATATTGTGCGTGTTTGACCTTTTCATGAGCTGGTCTTGGATGGACCTACACATTTGTATGGTCCATATTGTACAAAAGGTGTTTATCATCTGTGTGGGATGGGGATCTCATATAATGAAGCTACGCTGATCAGATTCTCTCGCTCCTTTTGAATCACTACTTCTTTGGTTTGAGGGTATTAAGAGTGAGAGGCAGAGTTAGGGCACTTAATTGGAAATGAGGATGCTTTTTGAGTAGGTGCTGTTTACATAGGATTGAGTGATGGAGTCTGCAGAGGCTGTAATTGAAGTAAGAGCTTTGGAGATTAGCTTCAGCATATGGGATCTGCGGCTCTACTTTCCCCCCTCTGTATTTTCCAATAAAATTGGGTTTAGCTTATGCTCTGCCTCTCTCGCCCTCTTGTCTATAAAAAGCTCTTTGAAAGTTAGACATTAGAGGGGAATGTAAAGGGGTAGAGTGCTGCATAAAAATCCCATGTCTAAGTAACACAGCTGATACCGCACAGAAATCTGGCTATAATTTTAAGCAATAATCATATGATACATGCCGCTATATAATAAAAAGAAATATTGTATATGTGAATATAAGGCAATATAATAAAGCGCTAATGTATTACAACAAGCCTGTCTAGCCCTAAATATGATATTGTTGAAGATATCTCGTTTTGTATTTTATTTATTTTTCTTGTGACGTGGCAGTACATTGTATCCATTATTTAGTTTATTAGACACTTTCAATGGTTTCAGAGGATGATAGTACTTTATAAATAAAGAAAACACTTAATCAGATTTTGCCATTTTACATAATTTTGTGGGGGATAATATATATATATATATAATTTTTATTTTTATTTTTCTATGTGGTCTTAAGTCAGTGAAAATTGTTTATAGTCTGACAAATGGAAAAGCTGGTGGAGGCTCCAATTTCACCAAGGAAAATACGGATATCTTTAAATATCCCAAATCTAGTCTACATATATATTTTCTGTTTACTTTAATTTGTCAATTATTTGTATCACATTTTAAATAATTGTGAAGTCCAACGGAATATGTTGATGCTATAATGATAATAATAATAATAATAATAACGTATTGTTGTACAAATAGATTTCTTAAGCAAAAGCATATAATAAAGCAACAATTAGAAATGTGGCAAATATTGTATTTTTTTTATGAACTGGGCAAAATGAAGGTCCCCTTAAATATTAAGAAATTTCAACTTTTACATCCAAAAATATGTATAAAATGCTTAAATTATATAAAATAGATCATTGGAGGCAAAATTATTATAATGAGAGTCTGAAACTGGTCAACTCTAAAACATGTTAATTTTTGGGAAGGAGTAATTAGCCCTTGTTACTAAATTATAAAGTCAGTCCTTTCTTATCAGACAGACACAGACTAGAAGGGCTGAATGGTTCTTATCTGCCGTCTCATTCTATGTCTCTTTAATAGATAGATAGATAGATAGATAGATAAACAGACAGACAGACATATAGATGGATAGATAGATAGATAGACAGACAGATAGATCACTTTTTTTAAAATCAGCAGTGTATTCTATGACTATATAAAAGTATACCTGAATCTGAGGCTGCTGGGCTGACCAAGCTAAGAAGATCTCGTTCACGCTCGTAGTCACTCTTGCAGAGAAGTTGCCCATCTTTTAAAACAAACTCATCACCCTTTTGCAGTTGTCTTTCACACACACAGCAGCAGAAACAGCCCAAATGGTAGACACTTTTTTGTGCTCTCATGACGAACTCTCTAGATGTGATGGTGTCAAGGCACGAACCGCATTTTACTGCAAAGAGCCTATGGGTGAAAGATCATAGCATACACGTTACTTTCTAAGCAAAATGTGTTTTGCATTCCATCCAAGACATCAATGATCAATGATCAATCGGGATTTATTTAATGGTTTTCTAGGATTGTGGACGTCATTCATCTACCTAATTCTGTTCTTTTTTTTTTTTTGTCAAAAATGTCCATTCCAATACTGATTAACACAATTTAGACAATTTACACAGAACATGAACCCTTAAAATTTACCATTTCTTAGACCAGTTTAAGCTGTGTCACTGGGTTATACAAAAAAGCTTGTTGCTGGATGGAGGCAGCCATTAAAATAAGATTGCAGATCAATAGCTCATTACAAATTGTATATACAGTGGGAGTTATGTATGAAGAACAACTGTGTAGACAATTTTCAGAAAGAAGCAATCACAAACAACATCCAGTAGGTTTCTATGGTGATTTTTCTGTTTCTGGACTTTAGCCAACAGCTGATCTTTATACATATCATTCACTGTTTTTTTGCTGTGGTTCAAAACTACTCTTTATACATATCTCCCAGACTCCCACTGTGTTAATTAAAAAGAAAAAAACTAATTAGTTGTGGCATGTTTTGAATACACATCTATGTAAGTCTCACTTGAAGACCACTGCTCTTCAAAAGCTAGCCCCAATTATAAAATAGTTTTAAAAAACATAAATACATCAAATAAACAAGGTGAATAAGCGCAAGACGGGTTATACACAACAAGTGAAGACAAGTTAAGCAAATCACAAAACAATAACAGAATGCAAAGGGAGTTTTTTCGCTATCTATATTAACCCTTCATGGCTGACCCTTCATGACTGTCATTTCGCAACAGAGGCCTTTTTCGCATTTTTGCTATGTGTTTGTCCCTTCCTTTACGTATGCCAAAACATAATATAAAGAGAGATATGGCTTTCTTCTATAATGACTATTACTATTACTATTTATGAATAAATTACTAAAAAAAATTGGAGAGAGGAAAAAAAAAGTTAATTTGTTTTCAAAATTTTCCTCAAAATTACTTCTAAAAAACTAGTGCACAATTGTAGAAAGTAGACCCATCAGGGTATTTCACTGTCAGAAATTTGACAGCTTTAATTTTACCATTTTGTAACCAACCCAAACAAAACTACTGGGTATAGTTCCATTTTCTGTGATTTTCCCAAATGTGTAATTTTATAGATCATGTGTGTCCCTCTACTCTAAAGACCCCTGAATTGTATTCTTCTTCTGCCTCCAAGTACAGCGGTTCCGCCATCCTGACTTAGTTCCCCGATATCTTACATTTGGGGACACCAGGGAACTGTCGACAACAATCATAGGACATGCGCATCATTGACGTGCTTGCGCTATGATCAGGGCACTGCAGGGTCTGCCCTCTGTGGACTGGCCTTGTAAGGTTGGTAGACAACCTGGAGTGTATTCACACTGGGTCGACCTGTCTACTTAGGTCCGCCCCTTTAGGACTGAGCCAGTGACACGATTGCAACACTGAACCACCCCCTTTGCTCCTCTTCCACAGGCATTCCAATTTGTAGTACATAACCGACAGCTCCATACCACATACTGACTCACGCGGGAATGGGTTAACAAGGTGGTTTGACAGACAAGTGCTATTTAACACACAACTTTGCCATTCCAGTTTTCTAACTGAAAACATAATTTCTTTCCATATTATTGTAATTCATATCCACAGAGTGACAATGAAGAATTTGTCTAGTCCTATGAAAATGCAGAATTTATTCTCATAAACACAGACAGCAGGTTTTGCTTTACACAGCACAAGAGATCACCAGAGATTTTAAAAATATATATTTTTTTAAATCTGCGTAATATTGGGCCAAGGTCTTCCGATGCTTGAGTGAAGTTCTAGGCATTTGTCATATCACGGACACATCTTTGGCTTTATTGAATGGCTCTCTCCATAGGTTGAAAGTCATCAAAACTTTGCCATAAAATATGTTCAGCTCAGAGAAACCATTGAATGAAGCAATAGAAGGCTCTCTCTATCAGCTGAAGTGCTGATGAATAAATTCAAAATTGAGCACAATATTGAACAACTGGCAGCTAGCTGTAAGGCACGTTTGTGGCACAAAATAAGGTCCACAGCCCTGGCAATCCTAAACTGTCATGCTGGTGCCTGTGGCCTACACATTTGCCTCATATCGATTTCCCCCTTGCCCAGCACCCCTTTTTTTCCTCTCCCCTTACTCTTTGTTCTCTGGCCCCTTCTGTTCATGTGTGCAATCATTCTTTTTTGTTGTTGTTGCTTAGCCGCCCAACAGATAGTGGTGGCAAGTGTTATTCAAAAATTGGAGGAGAAGGCGAGCTAGTCGATTTGGCTTGATTCAAAGCTGGTTTTATTATTTATGAGGCTGATTTTTATGATGTTACTCTACTTTCTTGTTTTCAATCCCATCTTGTGAGCTTATATATATATATAAATGTGCTAACTTTGTGTTTTATTTATCGTATGTGATTGTTTGACATTTTTGATTGTTTCATTGCATTGTAACCTATCCATCGATTAAAGATTATTTAAAAATAAAAAATCTATGCACAAAACTGCATGTAATTCTAAGAGAAAGGACTACAATTTTGGGATGCATTTCTATATGACTTGAAATATTTTATACATGTACAGGTATAGTAAATATTGAACTATGTTAATTCCATATATTAAATTATAAAAAAAAAAATTTGTAAGAATTTTTCTAATTACAGAAATAGCTCAGTTCCACAAGGCAATTCGGTATGTTTAGTAGAGTAGTATAAATACTACAATAAAATTGCATCAGTTAGATTTCTGTATTTTTACTGTAAAGTTAATTTAGCGTTTCAGGTCTCGGCCTATATCTTGCGCTTGGCTGGCATGAGCCTATAACAAGTATGCACATTTCACCAACATCCAGTGTTAAGTCTGGAGGGGTTGCACTCAATGTGTACACAGTTCATTAATAGCTCAGAATTGAGCTAATCTGTTTAAGCCTATGAATAACATAGGTGACGATAACATGGCCTCTGTCCTCGAGCTGCATAACCACACTCTTCCCTCAAGTGAACTATAAAGGATTCTGATTCCAGACAGCTGCTTAATCAGCAGAAGGACAGCAAATGATATGGTGATTATTTATTCTAACATTTTATCCCAAGGCCAATTTGTACAAAATTTGCATTTGTAATAAAACCATTCCTTCTGTCTTATTATTTTTAGTCCATGGATTTAATAAACAAATATCTATATATTATGTAGTTGGAAAATAAAATTGGAACATTTAATGGCAAGGATTATCAGTATGATAACAATTTTTTAGAAAGTTGTGATGTAAATGTTAAGATGACTGGTAGGTTCCAAATAAAATGAGTTATGATATATTGTTAAAGGGACCCTATAGCCACCAAAACCTCTACAGAAGTGGTTCTGGTGTCTACGACATGTCCTTGAAGCCTTGGCACTGTAAAAGGTGCAGTGTTTACACTGGTGTCTAGTTACAACTCTAGTGGCAGTCCCTCTGACGTCGACTAGAAGTGCTTCCTGCTCTGCATGAAGATTGATGATCTCAGCCATGGAGGCAGGTCCAGTCATGGCAAAACTGGCATGGAGTGGGAGAAAAGGTGAATAAAATCACCTTTAATTTCCGGTGAGTGGGACCTAATGCTGCATTCCAGCACTATAGTGTCCGGAATAAATCTTTGTATTCCTGACGCTATAGTGTTACTTTAATTACAAGAGGTTAAATCATTGTTGTTAGCGTGATACTGTCTCAAATTTGAAAAAGCATTATAAGCAATGAATAATAAATCCTGTAAAACTGGACGTAAAATTAAAGTTCTGATTTCTGCAAAACAGTAATGTGAGAGTAAAAGGGAAACTTTTCCAGTTCTTTTTTTCATCCAGTCTTTTAACTTGATGCTTGGCTTGGCAATGCTATGGGGAAACATGGAAATGTGTTTAGCTTTAATATGAGAATTTTCCAAGAAATTCAGAATCGAGTATAATCTCTTCAAAAATTCCATTGACTCTATCATTACACCTAACTCAGTTTTCAGCATTGCCTTGTCAATCAGTCATTAAAATAAACATGTCCTGCAGTGAAAGACACGCAATATTCCTGTGTGAAAATGTCAGTTTATTTAATTCCTATCCACCATATTTTACTGATTTATGTGATTTTATTGAAGTTATACTCTCTCTCTCTCTCTCTCTGATTTTAAAAGCTCTTTTTTTCAAACAAATAATTTTCTGTCGTGGCAAGCAATGCCTTTCAGTTTTTCATATAGCTTTTATTAACCCTAGTAAGGAGTGAACTGATGTTCACTGTAACAAAATGTCAAGAGTAATTAGAGGTGTACATGGGAGTGAACGCCATACGCGTTCTATAAATAATTTACACTCTAGGCCACACAGATATAAAATAAAGTCAATGAGTGAGCATTCAAAACCTCTACAAAAATCTAACTTTATATAGGGGAAAAGTTCCTTCTTCAGAATAAATATGGTGGAATAAAAGAAGTCCTGTCTGGAAACAAAGGGCAATTTATTAAAGACTCAGGGACAAGAAAATAAAATGAAAGATGTGGTGGTACTTCTCTAGTGTCTTGGTGCACCATCTAGACCTTCCAACCACAAGACTGAAGCTTTCTGAAGATTTATGTTATTAAACCTCTAATAGATTCCCATCCTCAAACTTGCAATAGATTTCCATCCTCAAGCTTGCTATAGACTCACGTTTTCAAGTACATTTCTGTTCTCAAGCTTGCCATAGTTTGTTTCTTCCAAACCTGCAACAGATTCCTGTTATCCAGCTTGCTAGTTGCTACAAATTATTGTGCTACAAATTAACATCCTCGACCCTGCTACCAATGTTTGTACTCGAGACTATTACAGTTCCCTGTAATCAAGCCTTCTACAGACAATCATTTCCCTTTTGCTGCAGATGCCCAAATACAAATGTCTGACAAAGACAGATAGAACTTGATCTTTTTAGACTACCTTCCAGGCCATCGAGCATCCGTTTATTCTCAAAGACATGACAAAACACACAGGTAACTATTAAATCTCTTTAACTTCCTACAGACGATCAGACCCCTACAAAGGGACCAAACCCCTACTGTGTCTCTGAGCCTTGCAACTGTGAGCACACGGTTAATTACATCCACTTCTCAGCCGTGAAAACAATCACAAACAAAGAGCATGTCTTTTGTTGGTGGATACCCAAAAATAAGTTATGGTGGCTACAAAGAAATAGCAATCTGCCTGAATTTAGGACTTCTTACACTGGACAAAAATGCTGAACAATCCCAATCCATAATTAATTTCATGATATACACCATTTAGAATACATGTCTTTTAGGTTAATGGGGGGCAAAGTCCCCCTAGTGACCAATAATTATCATTAAAGAAAGAAACGTTGATCTACCGATGAAAAGACTAAGTTACCAAGTGATGCTCAGCTTAGAGGAATACTGCTAAATTGAGCTGTCCCATTTCAATATATCGTACAAATAATGCCATGAAATGCAGAAATAAACTAGAAAGAAACGCAGATAAAAAGCTTTTTCCAGAGCAGGGAGTGGCTATAATCTCCAAGCAGTCTTTTTTTTAGGCTTTAATGATAGTAATGTACACAGTGGATAGCTGTACAGCCTAAAGCAGAGCCGAACACCATTATCTTAATTCACAATATGAAGATATCTGCACACATTCATAAGACACACAGCCATACTTCTAACTTGATATGAAGCTTCATTGTTTTTGTTATCACCCATTGAGACGTTACCGGTTGACATTCTATTCCAGAAAACCAACAATAGCCTGAATAACATACCTTGTGTTTTTCTTTTTCTTTAATTAAATGAAGGGATTACCCATTCTACAAAACACCCTCAGTAATGAGGTGAAAAAATGTGCCAGTATTTTGGATCCTAAGCAGGAGAACAGAAAATAACGTCCGTATCAATGGAGTAGGATGTCTATGTATGTAATAATATCCAGGGATATATACATATAAACACACAGATTCTAATGCATGGGAGATTTCAGCACAACTATCCAACATATACCTGTGTGTGGTGCAACACATACTATCTGTATATCCAGTAAATGGAGGGAGAGCTTACTCTGTCCATGTTAACACTCTGGATGGACAGACAGACCACTAAAAAGAGAGAGATATCCTCCTTGGATTGCAATTTTTCTGTGCAGACACAGGCCCTCCATGGGACATTATTTATTTTAAAACACGGGATGCTGCTTATTATAAACATCAAATATAAAACTCAGCAGTTATTTCTCAAAATCACAAAACCAAAATCAGACTGATATATTTTACATAGCATGTCTTCCAAATTGTACCAGAGTCGTGATGTGTTTTATTCGGTACGTGCAACCTTACGGCTGATTTTAAGAGACAGGATTGAAATGACAGTTCAAATACAGAAATGAAGTGCTAAATGTAACCGGCCTCTTGAACAGGACATCACCCCCTCTCCAAACCCAGAAGAGGCTGTTTATAGACTGATCTAATTACATGTACCATCCACAGTAATTGGGAGCAATTCAGTTTTTGGCTAGATGGCACATTATGGCATTAAACATATATTTGAAGAATTTTTTTAAAGGGTTTAAGAGCAATATAACTGCACGTTTTGAAGAGGGATTTGACAGAGCCTGCTCTTGGAAAAAGGGATTTGCACTATGTGTTATTATTACACAGAAAGTTAATTTGGTGTTTGTAGAGAGCAGGTCTCTTCGTCCAATGCTGTCAGGTTTCAGTTGCTGCCAAATCAAGTTACTCTTAGTTAGAGTCCTAATAGACTATGGAACCCTAACTGGTTAATAGGCTGTTCGGAACATTCTATATACATAACATGGAGACAGCTCGAGATGAAGACTATTAGAAGATTGATGTGTTTGGATGATCACCACTGGCTTTCACTGACCTGCCTGATTTAGTACAAAGACATTGTGATCATGCAGGGTTATTTACTAAAGTGAGAATTCAAAGTGAATTCAAAGTAAATTTCTAATTTAGGGCCACAATAGCTGAATTTTATTTTTTTTCCAGTTTGGCTATTTCGATCTTAAATTTCAAATTCACTTTAAATTGACCTTGAATTCTCAGATGTATTTACTAAATGGTGAGTTGGTGAATGTTGACAAGCCACGTGTAAAATTAAGACCGGACTGCCCAAATTAGAATCCTAACTGATGTCTACATTACAATCCATTGTCAGTAATCAATAATGTTTTCTGATTTACAGCTGATATCATGTGACAGCCAACAAATCTAAATCAATTCAAATGTCACGAACATTATTTCTACCGCACCCAAATACCATTAATGCCACTGGAGTTGGAAATCAATATCGAGTTAAAGCTGCACCTAAACCATAATTTTGTTGTGAATCTTTCAATATTACACTTTAGTGGCCAATACCCCCAAAAATTGGTGCTGTTGTGAGGTTTTCAATTACATAACAGGCTGGCGGTTAGACAGTCAAGGGCATTGATGATGCCAATTGATGACAGGTGTGTAATTAACCTATCATGTTCCATATGGACATGAAGTGGGTGTTTATTTAAGGTACTGTACATTAATACAGACATTTTAGGTATTATCTTTGTGTATATTTCCAATTTTATCGATTTTGCTATGTTATAGCACTTATTTGTCTTTTAATAGTTGTAATAGATTAACAATGATTTATTAGATAATGTTGCTTGTACACATCATCAAATCAAAGGATGAGTTGTGGTGTTCACCCTGCGCATGCACTAACACTTGGAAATATTTTTGGAGTATTGGTTAAAAGCCTTTTAAAGTCATTTAAGTTGTTGAAATGGTCATGATCATGATCACCAAATCTTGCGGGCTTCACATGAGCTATAGGACTCTTTTTCACTGATGATCACTTCAACATTGTTACTAATGTTACATAGTAAACTGGGATGAAAATAGAATAAAGTCCATCAAGCTCAACTTCAATATTTATCAAATACAAGATTGTGATTTCCCTGTGAGATGGAACGTTTTTCTTGTGTTTTCTTGTTTTTACTGACTAAGTCACTAAATTAAATATCTGATTGCAGTAATGGGAGTTTAAATATTGGTCGTCTCAGTAAAGTATGAAGAGAAAATGAATATGTGACCGTTTGGTCCAGTAAGCATGTTGTAGTAGCACTTTCGTAATATTGTGTAGTGTATGTGGAAATATATGAAGTTCTTTGGTTTGTATTTACACATATATGAAATTGCTATGGGATATTACATAACTTGCACAATGATATACAGTAGCTCTAACTTTTCTTCTACAGTCTAAGTGAAGATTAGTAATCGGCTAGCAGAGGTAAATGGTAGTAGAAAGCTCTTCTAGTAGCCTAGTGTCATTGCACACATTCTGTCTTGCAATCCTGTACTTGTCTAGATGCCTTCTGAAATCTTACATTCCCTGCCCCCCCTATTGTATGGTATTCGTACTGTCCCTAGCAGCTTGGCACTTAGTTGTGTATAAAATTCAGCTGATCGGAACAGTAAAATTCCACAACTAATTCAGCCATTATCTCAAGAGCTGTTCAGTAGGCAGTATACCGCTTGACGTCCCCATCCTTCATCTCTCAGTGGGACAGTGGTAAAGTAAGGAAGAAGGAGGGAATGGGATTAGAGGATTAAACACATGGGACTTACTGATTCCTGCATGACTCCACCCCCTCCCATTGAGACGTTACCGGTTGACATTCTGTTCCAGGAGACCAACAATAGCCTGACTAACATACCTTGTGTTTTTATTTTTCTTTAATTAAATGAAGGGATTACCCATTCTACAAAACACCCACAGTAATGAGGTGAAAAAATGTGCCAGCATTTTGGATCTTAAGCAGGAGAACAAACAGCAGCATCATAAAAAGAGTAAGATGTGTATGTATTTAATATAAAAAATGTATATCTAGGCATATGCAGACACACACACACACACACTAATACATGCCAGATTTCAGCACAACAGGACTATCCATGATATACCTGTGGGTGGTGCAGCATACTATCTATATATATATGTATCCTGTCAATGAAGGGAGAGCTTACGCTGTCAAAGTGCAAGTCTAGTGTCCATTTGAACAGTTTGGATGGACAGACAGGGAGACAGACAGATTCATGAGGTGAGTCTCTTGTCTATCACTACTAGAAAATCATTGTTAGATTAATACTTAATCGCATTAGACCTTCACCATAGGAATGCATTGAATCAATACTTTCCTATTGGGTTTTGCTTGACGCTGGATGTCCCCATGCAAAGCGTGAGGATATCCAGCGTTGTTTCACAGAGTCAAGCTCTGTGATACTGCAGGAAGCGCCTCTAGTGGCTGTCTGGTAGACAGACACTAGAGGCAGTCTTAACACTGAAATGGGACAGGTACACTTCACTCAGACCACTTCAATGAGAGTGTGACCCTAGTCATGTATTTTGCAGAGCAAAGTCAGCACAATTATATCTATACTGGATATACCACATAGTTGAAACAAACATAATAAACATAAAACACCGAAGTTATTTCAACAGCTGGTTTGGAATTTAAAGGGACACTATAGTCACCAAAATAAATTTTTGAAGCAGTTTTTGTGTATACATCATGCCCTTGCAGTCTCACTGCTCAATAATCTGTCATTTAGGTGTTAAATCACTTTTTATTTCTGTCCATGCAGCTCTAGCCACACCTCCCCTGTCTGTGATTGACACAGCTTGCATGAAAAATATATTTTTATTTGCTGTCAAATATTGACTTACTTTAGAATTTTGTATCTCCTGCTCTGTAATTGAACTTTAATCACACACAAGAGGAAATAAGAAATTCTGTATTAAACAGACAGTGCAATAAAGGAAGTTTAAACATTAGATCTCACTTTACAGGAAGTGCGTAGGAAGGCTGTGTAAGTAACATGCAGGAAGTTGTGACTAGGGTTGCATAAACAAAGTGATTTTACTCCTAAATGGCAGAGAATTAAGCCGTGATTGTGCAGGAGCATGACCTAAACACCAAAAGTGCTACATAAAGCTAAAGTTGTTTTGGTGACTATAGTGTCCCTTTAAGTAATATTAACATCTATAAATGTAGAAAAACAGAATAGAATATTAGTGGAAAATATATATTTTTGTTTACCCAGATATTATATAAACAAAACACTTTAAATTGTTTATTTACTTATCACCAAATTGTAAAAAATTTAATGAAATGTAAAATATAGCAATGTTGAAATTCAGGTATGAATTCGCTACCAATTAATGTTTAGTGAATAAACCCTTCTAAACTTTTCACAGTAGTGTGATTCTTTTGAAATGTAATACATTTAATGTGAAATTCACTGTGATCCTTTTTTTAAATATACACTATAGCCAGAATGAAGAAATATTCCATAACAGCTGTCTTCAACTCAATTATTTTAGCTTAAAATGTAAACTTTACTGAATTTGCATTGAATTCCAAAGAGTTCGCACTTTAGTAAATAAACCTGTTTAGTTAAAGTAATTTATTCTGTGTGAAAGAAAAGGCATTGGTTCTCAAAGAGGAAATAATTGAAATAATCTGATAAAGCATGTCTAGCTTCAGGCATCCTCAGAGAGGTAAAAGGGAATGCCTATAACCTTAAACATACCTCCCATGCTCTGCTAATATGACTCTCTCTCCCTAGGCCCCACTACTGTCTCCATAGCTAAAAGCTGCCTCACGTGATTAGCTGGCCAGCCGTTTGTTTTTGCCTTAGTAGTTAACATGACCCCTTATTCTCTCCCCCTGACCCTCTCCTCCTGTGACAGACAAGTTTTCGTTTAATACCTGGCAACCAAGGGAGAGTTAAGCTTCCTCAAATATGAGCGTTTTTTGGCTGGAACGGCACAGGGCTGCAGCCCAACCGAGAGAGAAAAATTAAGCACCGCAGGTCGTGGCTCCAGCGAAGAGGAGATAAAGTGTTCCCATGGAGTAGGCCGGGCACAGCCTTTCTCCAGTTAATACTTAACAAGGCCCCTCAACAAAGGCAGCCAATGTAGCCTGCGCTTAGCAAGCTGATTCCCAGCATATTGCTGTGTAATGGAGAATTCTTTCAACAGGAGACTCATTCCCTTCCACAAACCTGTCAGATTTCACTTCACATATCTCTGCAATGAATCACTTATCATCCTTCACCTTCAATGCCGACATGCTCAGCCCTTGTCCTACTCAGAGCAGAGTATTTGCATATTTTGTGGACAAAACAGTTGTCTTCTGATCAGTTTGACTTTCCTTTGAACTTCGAAGGGTTAATCGAAAGTACTAGCTTTTATAATGCAAGCTCAATTGAAGCTTCTGTTTTGCCAGCAATCACCACAATATTGTCTAAAAGTAAGGGACAATTGCCAATAAGCAGAGGATTAAACCATTGTGGGACAGTCTTGGTGGTATGACAATAAGTGGGTTCTCAGCGGGGTGCATTGTAATAAGACACTCCTCGAACACTCATCACACAGGTTATTTTGCAATTTTATGTCTGCAGGAGTTATGAATCTGTTTACAAGTCTTGGTTTCCTCAGTTTTGGTGTTATTAAAGGAAACTAAAACCCATTTCATGCCAAAAAGCGCCTGTGGCTCGTTGTCAAAGGCCAGTTGGAATCACATGTGATGAGTGACATTTCGCCAGATTGGCTGGGATAAATTTCTCAGCTTGGCAGCTGTGTATTGGATTAGATTCACATTGTGGCTTTTTTTGTTGTTTTTTCTTTCTTAAATTATTCCGTCATTCACACCTTTTTTATTCTTCTTCGGAAATCATACACCAGATTCTGTGACCACACACATTGCACTGTGTATATAAATACTGCATTCTGCTACATTTAGTATATACATTTTATAAAACATATACTGCATATCTCACCTGTAAACTAAATGTTTTTATATAAATGTCATACAATCATACATGTACTTTCTACAGATTATTTTACACATATGGCTCTAGTGAATTTGGGTAAAACTCGGAAGAGAAAATTATATTAATTCACTAATCTCTGAATTAATACATTTCCTGCTGAGTTCTGTTCATTTCATTGTGGTCGTTTTAGCTATGTAACAAATGCAAATGGATTTCATCATGACTAAAAAAAGCATAAATCCCTCCCAAGTTCACCTAAAGTCAGTAATTTGCCATAGACTTAATAGTGACCGTGATAGTGTTCATGGTGATAACTTGCGCTAATGAGTGTAACTGACAAGTTCACAACACATCTAATTTTCATCTAGCAAGTGTCAGCTTGTTTGAGAAATCGATACATTTCAGAATTTAGTAAAGTGACCTCCTGGTATTTAGTGATAATCACATGCAAGGACCCAACTACATTCAGCCATAGAAGCTGTCAGTTTTCAAACACTGTCTGATCATGCATGTACATGGCTGAGAGATCACGTGATATACTAGGAAGGTAGGAATGTTAAAATATACTTACTTAAAAATATATATATTGTGTTTCAAAACTTGATGAATATATTATGTTAAAAAATAATTTTGAGAAAACAGTTGACCTTTAAACCTATGTTTTTTCTATACATTAATAATGATTGTAGGAGTGAAAGGGCATGTAGACCACACTTAAAGGGACACTATAGGCACCAAAACAACTTTAGCCTAATGAAGCCATTTGGGTGTATAGATCATAACCCTGCAGTTTCAGTGCTAAATTCTCTACTTTGTAGGAATTAAATCACTTTGTTTATGCAGCCTAGTCACACCTCCCTGCATGTGACTTACACAGCCATCCTAAACATGTCCTGTAAAGAGTTATCTAATGCTTAAAATTCCTTTACTGCACAGTATGTTTAATTTCGAATTTCTTATCTCTTGCTCTGTTAATATCCTTCTAGACCCTGCAGGAGCCTCCTATGTGTGACTAAAGTTCATTTTAGTTTTCTGAGTAGGACATAAAACCATCTAAAGTAAGTGAACGTCTGATTGAAAATGAAACCTTTTTTCATGCAGGTTGCGTGAGTCACAAGCAGGGGTGGTTTGGCTAGGGCTGAATAAACAGAAACAAATTAATTTAACTCCTAAATGGCAGCACATTGAGCAGTGAGACTTCAGGGGCATGATTTATAGACCAAAACTGTGTAATATAGCTAACGTGGATTTGATACATATAGCATAGATGCATTTTTGTAATGATTTTACTTGAGATAGCATTTCCCATTAAACACTTAAGTGTCTTCCATACCTTGAAGAGCTGATATAGTATACTTGTTTTAATTTTGACTCAGTCTCAGTCAGCAATGTAATATAGACAGACATTTCCTGATTGTGGAAAAATGGTGGGGAGCGCTATATATATATATATATATATATCTATATATATATATATAGATATATATATATATATACACACACACACACAAAAGTGAAGAAACTTCAAGTGTGTGCTTAACTATAATTTAGGGAAATTGCACTTTTCTCCAAATTTGTCCAATTGTGCACTGATGATGATAATACATTTATGTGCAAAAAAAAAGAAATTCAGAAAAAGAGTTACATTTTCAGCAAGCTACAGATACAATATATTGACTGGTATAGTGTTTGCATCAGATTTAATGTTTGTCCTAAAAATATTTGTTTTTCACTGCCAGAACTGGCAATGGATCAACTCTATTGTAAATCCAGCTCCAAGACATTTTTGCAGAAAATATCCAAATAAAGAATCACGTGGTCTTGATTGATGGCTGTTCTTTAGTCTTAAAACGACCAGTGACTATCCTGTCCATTATAATGAAATACAGGATAGCCAGCCAATGCTGTATTTACAGAGCTTCAAGATAATACTAAAATTGATTCGTTATATCTAAATTTGGCATATGGTATATCAATTGATCGTTCACTTCACTGCAATTTGATTAAAGGATTTCTTAGTCCTGCAGATTCTACTGCTCAAATACATAAAAAGAAAGCATTTCTCTGTTGTTGAACTTGGCCACCACAAAGCCCTCTTAGATGTATGCACTATAATAGCTCTTAGAGGACTCTGAAACGTACTTGTTGCCAAGTTTCCATTGGTGAAAACAAGGTTCAATGAAACAGATAACCAAGGTGAAGATTTTAAGATTTCAGGTATTAATTCTGGGCATATAGAAAAAATTATAAATAATGTGCACGTCCTTAACACAGAAATTTGTTCTTGGTGCTATGGCACTAAGACAAATGTCTAAAAGTGAAGTGAAGAGTATGTAAATTGATAGATAAATACATAAAAGCGCTACGGAATCTGTTGGCGCTATATAAATGATAATAATAATAATAATAATAATAATAATAATAAAATAAACTGACATTTCCTCAGTTTAATCCACTTAAATGTATTTTATTCCTTTGCACAGAAGACATTTATATTATTTCCTTTCTTTGTCTTGACATACAAACTTTCTGATCTAGAACATCAATCTAGAATTAAAGTCCTACCACCATTGTCTGACCCAATGACCCAAGCAATTCTCCCAATCAAGTGGTTATGTGTGAAATAATATAATGGTAAAAACCCCAGAAGAATGCTGGGAATTTGCTTCAAGAAACATTGTAGGGCTGTAAGTGGCCCACCACTACAGCAGACAGACCCCCTCCTAGACTAGATCAAGAGTAAGTGTTTTCTTCTATCCTAAGCCTATGCTAATCAGATAGCTGTACCCAGTGTGTTGTGGAGATAAGGGGCAGTAAGAGGAAGTTAAACGTCCCTTTAAGTGAAAGACAAGTTGTTTTTCTTTCAAACATTACAAAGTAATTGTTTAGATGTATCATTAGAACTACTCTAGTACCCATATAAGTAACACATATAAATATAACATTTTCATAATAGAAGATGTTATCAGTTTATCTATCAATAATACTGCATATTGTAATTTGGCTGAATCCTACTACAACAGTGCAGAGGAATATTTAAAGGCAACAGCATTATATCTAGTTAACAATTAAGATACATTTTGATATCATAAAGGTCAAAACTCAATACAGATAAACTACTTGAAGTTGTTTTTGAGAGAGATGTGAAATAGTCCACAGATGTCTATTGTTTGAGAGGGTGGTTTTTAATTGAATTAACAGATGCAATATCCTGTCTTGTATATATTCTTACAGGTACCCATAAAATCCATTCAGAAGGTTATGATCCACTGGTGATAAGACTGGCTTTAGAATGCAGTAGATGCACTGAGACAAAAAGAAGCGAGGTATAAGTAAAGACCCTGTCTCTACATCATTATAATATTTGTTTAATATATTGTATTATTTTATTCTTTATTCTATGTAAATCGTACATGTGAACCAAAAAGGTGACATGACACTTGTATTTATAATTGTTACGAATGGAACTAAGGGTGACATGTTTTAACCATCTGCAACTGAAAAAAAAAGTAATAAAAATAAATGGTGCATGAAAAAAAAGTCGCAATATAAACATTGCATAAAATTTTCCTTATTTGCTCCTTAACAGTAGAAACCCAAGATAACAAATGTAATTGCACTACTGTGATAAATAGTGAATACAATAAGCACAATAAATGAATGCGATAAACATCAATTGAACAAAAATAACATGTTAAAAGTACAGATTACCTATTAGCTATTTAGTGATCTAAACAAATGCTTAATTTTGCAACTTTTTGTCTAAAATGGTTGTACATAAATTTCTGAAAGAGCCAAGTCCATTTTTTAATGATTTTTAAAAAAAATGTTTCCCAGGGCTTTCAGATTAAACCCTTAACAATGTTAAGGTGTGCAATTTCTTTGTACAAAAGGAGGGCTTAAACGCCACAGGGGCGTCGCGATGGTGTGCTCTCCAGCGAGCCAGAATACTTACCTACAACGCCGGATCCAATAGCAGTGACTGCCTGACAACCGAGGCAGACCCCCTGCAGCAAATCCCATCCACCCTCATCACGTGATCGCGATGACACAATTAAATTATATATATACTTAAATCTAAAGAAAAAAATGGGTTGTGTGCTCAGCCCAAAAGGAATCTTGTCTGGATTTCAAATCTACACAGAAAAAAATGGGAAATGGAGGCTCACCCATAGCATGCATTTTTAAGTAGTGGTGCTGCCATAAAGACCAAAATCTATCCAATAGATTTTGTGTATATATCTATATATTGTAAAGTACTATGGAATCTGTTGGCGCTACATAAATGGCGATAATAATAATATATAGATTTGGAATCCAGACCAGATTCCTATTGGGCTGAACACTCCACCCATTCACTATGGCTTCTCCTTTAGAAGAGACCAAAGGAAAGCATAAATTGAAGAGTTGCAGAAATATATGTAAATATGGCTATAGCCACGAGAGACAATCAGCCGCTGAACACTCTTTGTGATTGGCTAACGTGCGCATTGATGCTTTAAATGTATGCCTATCGGCTAAATTGCTGTAGTCTGTGTAAAGTGAATGTAAGCTATACATGCTTTTTACTCCAGCCAGCATAGTTGGATACGTGACAATATCATTCCCAATTGGCTCCCATGATATGCTGCCTGAATTGTACCTTCATTTGCCAGGGCATCATGTGAATTGCAGTTCCATAACAGCAAGAGACCTACTGGTCTATGTCTAAAGAAGGGTGTCTAACACATACCATAAAGTGTAGGTCACAGATGAAACCTGTTGAGCTATTTTATGACCAATTTGGCAGTCTCTGACGACTAGTCTGTTTGATCTAAGGCCTGCAATGTCTCGTAACAATACAAGCTGACTAATGGCAGTGAAAGGGTTAGACTCTGTATGTGTTTATTCAGTGCTATAGATTACTGTCCATTTTAAATTAACAGATGACTCTGCTGCCACTGGCTTTGTTGTCATTATTGAAGACTGAAGGGCCATCACTCATCCACCCACTGGGCACACAGCAGTAGCCCCATTGTATCTACAGTCATTGGGTTCAATCTTCTCTTTTCTTTCTTTTTTTCTCTTATATTGCAGTCCCAGTGTAACATTTGTATTATGGTTGTAACCATTGTGTTATCATTGTGTTTACAATGATACCATCATGACCATAGCTAACCCTTCTTGTTCTTCCTGGTGTGCATGCATTGTAGCCACTTTATTAGAGCAATCTAATATCAGGAGAGTTATGGGACAATAATAAAGACAAGGAATGGTTAGATACAGATCCTTCATCACTCCTTGTGCTACACCAGTCCTTAACTGACAATTGAGTTTTCTAGTGTAATTTTAGTGAAAAGGATACCGTTTAAAAGATTTATTTACTCTTTTACATCTGAAATAGGAGCAAAAAGTAAATCACTATGGGTTTCCACAGTTTTGTGTAAAAAACTTCACTTTATGTACTTTGGCCATGGCTAAGTCTATCCAGGGTTTCTGAGAAGTCTTTGTGGTTGAATTAGTCTCTGATTCTTATCTCGCTGATGCTAAGCTACCAAAAAAACACATTCATTATTTCTCATTGATTCATTTTTACCAGACAAATGATGGGATGGTTTAAAATAAATAGTTTTAATCCAGTTTTGTAATTGAGAAAGATTTCAGTAAATTTTAAGAAGTCTCTAAATGGGAAATGGATAACAGAAAAGATGTCACCATAGTGAAAATTCATACCTTATTCTAGAGTTATCAGAAAAAAACAAACAAACAAAAAACAGGCTGGTTCCCTCCTCACAAGAGATACAGCAACCCCGGATGAGGGTTAGGCATCATCAGTGAAGTGTAGACAAAACCCCTCTAGGCACAGTGAACAATGGGTTCACGTTGGGATTACCCTTTTATCTTATTCTAGAGATATGTAGTCTATCTGGTAAACCAAGTCGTTTTCTTGATAGGCTTCTGTAGGATATGCAGTGCCTACATTAAAAGCCTAAGAATACTGTTCCAGGAAGAATATCCATCCAACTAATTAGTAAACTCCAGTGGATCATATTTAAAAATGTATTACTTACTATAATAAATTACAGTTTACCTGATAAAACTACCGGGGTTGAACAAGTGATCAGGATACTGAACACAAGTTAGTAAAGCTACCCTCAACTATCTCCAATTTTTCACCACTTTCCACATCCTCCACTACTTGGCACACTTTCCTTATCCTGTACCTTGAATTGTGTTAAAAGGACACTATAGACCCCAAAACGTTAGCTTAATGGAGTAGCTCTGGTATATAGATAATGCCCCATGCAGTCTAACTGCTCAATTCTCAGCCATTTAAGAGTTAAATGACTTTGTTTATTCAGCCCTAGTCACACCTCCCTGCTGACTTACACAGCCTTCTTAAAGACTTCCTGTAATGAGAGATCTAATGTTTCAATGTCCTATATTGCACATTCTGTTTAATTTAGAATTTACTATCTCCTAGATCTAGACCATGCAGCCCTCCTTGTGTGCTGATTGATACTGACTGTGTGAGTCATAGCCAGTGGAAGTGTGGCTAGGGCTGCATAAACAGAAACAAAAAGTGATTTAACTCCTAAATGGCAGTGAATAGAGCAGTAAGACTGCAGATAATTTACAGAGGATCAATACACAAAAACTGCTTCATTAAGTTGTTTAAATGCCTCTTGTGCCCCTTTAATAGTATGTATTGCACTCTTGAAATGTAAATGAATCAGTCAGTTTGGGCTAAAAAGTAAACTAAACAAAAAACTGAGCACCGCCATCCTTGTGAATGCACTGGACATCCATCCTGGTTTTACTCATAGTCAACAGTGAATGCATGATTTCTCAGGAAGCAGTTTGTGCTCTGGCCATGCTCTCATCTATGTAATACCAGCTTGTGAAGAGAAAACAAGCTGGAGATTTACTTCAATAATTCAGGACTACATTTTGCAAGTTGGTCATAAACTTACACAACTTACTTTTCAAGGGACACTCTATGCACCAAAACCACATCATCTTAATTAACTGGTTTTGGTGCACATACCCTGTACCTCCAGGCTGGCTATGTAAAACATTGCTGTTTCAGAAAACAGCAATGCTTACAGTTAATCTTAGAGAGGTCTCTAGTGGCTGACAGACTGCCAAAAAATTTAAGGTCTTCACATTTGGCATCCTCACACACAGCCATAAGATGCTGAACACTGTGAATGTTTCTCAATGAGAAGCAATGGATTTGGTGCATCCCTATTGAAGCATCCAAGTTGTGGAGCACAACATTTGCCATGGATACCTCATATGTCCCCAATGCTTTTCTATGAGGGGGAACTGGATTGGACTGAGATCATTCATCGCGGTGATCTCATAAGAGGTGGAGTGGCTGTTCAGCTGAGAGGTGGATGAGTTTTGGGTGGTGAGTTTGAGGGATTTTATTATTTTTTTATTTTAATGAGGGTTGTGGGCTGAATTTAAACAACTTAAAGAACACACTAAGGTTAAACAAAAAATAACTTAAATAACTTTAGTACATTCTTTCACTAAATGAAACCCTTTTTCAAGGCAGAAATTTTTACTGATAACCTCTTTTTTTTACCAAAAGATGCTTAGTAACCACTGAATCGTAAGCCCCTCTGACAGTAATACGGTTTATTAGAGACAAATGCCAGAAGAACATTCTGCACATTGTATAACGCAGCCGCTCAAGCGTGCACTGAAGCTTATTAACATTTTAGCCCTGATTTTTATTACCCCTGTCTGTTTCAATATTTGCTTTGTAATTAAAAGAATCATCATATGGAGATCCTGCTCATTTTTTATGGCTGCATTAATTTCCTGCTTTGTAAATAAACCTTTTCCCCTCAATTATGTTTTATAGCTCATGTTTATTGTACCAATTATGGCCCCTGGCTGGAAAGTTAAATACAATTTCAGTTTCCCAGTGAGATTTGTCACAAAACTGTAAGACTCCTGGCACTGTAAATAATAATGCAGATCAATAATTAGAGTTGTTGGTTTGGTAGCATTAGACAATAACAAACATATTTTAGACCATAAGCTGGGAGGAAATGTCCAATAAAACCAGCAATTTGATGCAACATATGACATGGAAAGACTTTGTTGATGTCATATAGATGGAATGGAGAAGTCATGTTGGTCCTACCCCCCCAAAGAGAGTGCACTGCTCCCCCCAACACAGGTCCATGTTCTATCCTTCTGCATAGCTATTTACTACTTCTTTTTTTCTCTGCATAGGATTTTCTAGATCCATATGTCTTGCAGAGCTTTGTGAAATTTACTTTGTCACAATAGAGCCTCACTCTTCCATTGCTGTGGAACTTGTTTGTGTCTTCTTCTTGCATAACCTTGTGCTGCTTCTTTCTTCCCTGTACATGGGTCTACTAGGTACAGATGCGGCTCTCTAATTAGGCAGCCTAGGCGGCCGCCTAAGGCCTCGCGCTGGCTGGGGCCTTGCGGCCGCCTAAACCGCCTGTGGACAGTCTGTCTCAGGTCCTTGGTCATTGACCAAGGACCTGACACCAGGAGGGGGCCCGGTGGCTTGCCCGGTATGTAAACCGGGCAAAGTAAAAAAAGTAAAAAAGCATAAATATAGAATGACTTTTTAAAAACAACATTGTAAACTCTGTGTTCAGATCCCCTTTAAGATGTTGTACTGCCTCTGGCCACCGTAATACAGTGAATTTATTTCTGCAAAAACTACTACCCAGGTCAAAGAACAATTGAATTGACAAAATAATGTCCAAATAGCTTTATGTGATTTCACTGGGACAGCCCAACCAGTCTCATTTGTATTTTTTGTTTAGAATATTTTGGTGGCATTTGTGTTTTTTTTTTTTTTTTTTAACAGATTACTATTTGAATTGGCCAAGCATTAGCACAGTTACATTGGTTCAATTTGTTGGATACGTAAGTAATATTATTTTTTAAAATCTTTTACTGACATTAATAGCGTGATAGGGTGTGTTTAAGGTAGAATAAAGGGACACTCCAAGCACCATGACTGCTTATGCTCACTGTCCTTCCTTATATTTTTAATTCAATACAGTTTGAATTGTTATTCATTATTTTATAATCTTTTCTCCAAAGCCAGCAATTTGGTCCTGTATTTACTCCATTTCACAATTTACTAAATAAAAATGTAATGTAGCCACACCAGTTGCTTTGAATCAATATGTACTAAAATAGTAAAATAAAAACATAAAAAGTAATGTCACTTTTTTATTTTGTTTAGTTTTGTTTTGCCTCTGTAGCTATGGTTTATGTTCTGCATAACTTTTCAGTCTCCTCTACTGTAATTTAGCTTAAGCACAGTATGATTCAATACAATGACCTTTGGTAGCTGTATTAGTTGTAATTAAATTGTGTCTTTTGCAGGGATTGAAAGATCCAAAAATACAAATTGAATTCAACGTGGCTCTATCCAGTCAATAATCCCAACATAAAGGAACAGCATTTCTGTCCCCACTGGGATATTTCTACAGTTCCCCAGTGATGATTATAAAAAGAGTTTTGAAAACTGGAAATGTGAAAACAAGAATTAAAAAAAACGGAGCATTATATTTCCACCGGAATGAACTAGAAAATGTCTAGATCCTAGAGTGTTGGTGTTCTTTGAGTACTAGCTGGGAAGAAATGGTACAGACACAGACATACATACAGAGAAATGAATTAAACCAGGGAATATCAGGAATTGATCAAAAGCTTTCTTGAGCTCTTCGCTCTGCCAAAGATCTATCTATTTAATGTCACTACTCACATCTTTGACGCCCACCTTCAAGACTTCTCTAGGGCTGCACGATTCCTATGGAACTTACTTTCCTGCTCTGTTAGACACTAAAAAGACCCTTAAAAACTCACTTCTTTAGGAAAACATAACGCTTGTGTCACTTTACCCCACTCAGTCTAGAATGTCAGCTCTTTAAAGCATGGCCCTCAACACCATCTGTTCCTGGGCGTCCAACTCGCCTTTTTTCAAATACTTAATCAACCTATTGTACAGTGCTGTGGAATTTGTTGGCACTTTACAAATACTATTATTATTATTATTATTAAATAAAATATTATTGAATATAACTGTAATTGCCTGAGTGAGAAGATGGAAATCTTGAATTTGTTTTTATTTTATTTATTTTTTCAAGCACCTCTTTCTTCTTTTTTGGCAGTATCATGGCCAAGCCATGACGTAAATGTAAAAAAAAAACAATCTACTAAACATGTTAAAATCAGGCAAAAACGGTAAACAGTTCTGAAGGTCAAAGCAGGAGTCAGATGAACTAAACAGTTTCCCAGACAGGACACAAAATGATCTGACAAGAAGGAAGTGGCAAGGCAGGGCTTATAAAGGTATCTAATAAGATACTTAGTCAGGAACCATGTGCAGGTGTGATAGTAGTCCAGGTTTATGCAGATACCATAGCATGAGAAAAAAATGCGAATGAACAAGAGAAGTGGCAATAAGGTAAGATCACTGACTGGGATGAAGAAGACCCGGTGATGTTCATGCCTGGCAGTCTGCTTGGCAGGTGTGAACTGTGACAAACCTCTAAGCAAATATTCAGAAAGAAAGGTAAGAGGCTAGAACTCCAAAAAATCTGCCTTCAGCTATAGCTTGTAAATATTACAATATAGCTTGTAAATATCTGAATGCCATACTTTTCACTAATACATTTGTAGACACCTACCTTATCCAAACCAGATGCAGATTCCCAAATTAAGCACTGAATTATGTTAAATAAATATCCAAATTGCACTACCAGGGGAAATGTGGGTAATTTCAGAGTTTAGTGAATACCTATGGAAGAAGAGGCTACAACTCTATGAAAACCAGACATCATTTGGTAGCCCCTTCTTGTGCAACACAGAAGTTGACTCACAACTACCCCACATCTTGGATGTGGATGTAGATGCAAGGACCCGTGATCTAAACTATCATAGAAACATGCGCACTATGCCAAATCCCAATGCACATTTAAATAACTGGAGGATTGTATTGTATGTATTGGGGTGGATGTGTACTATTGTCATTGCTGCTGCCCAGTAGCTGCGGGAGTTTGAGCTCAGGGCTTAATTTTGTATATCATAGAAACTTGTTGCATCAGACAAAATCTGCAGAGCATGTTCTGCTTGCAACTGAAATAGTAACATTAGAACAGTATATGATTTCCAGTTGGATAGTTTTATTATTATTTGGGTCATTGGACTCAATTAAAAAAAAAAAAAAAAAAGAGAACACATTGCTTTATAGTAGTGATTTGTAACAACATTTAACTTTATTCAGCATGGGTGCATCAAAAACCTTCTATCCACCTGACTTGGATGATGAATAAATAATGGCCATTTTAATGTAAACCCTTTCCTGCAGAAGATCAAAGGGCAGCTCTGGGAATAACAGATTACGGAACTGCTTATACATCTAACTTCTTAAAGTTCCCTTGTGTACCAGTCTGAATATTGTTAAGATGTTCGGGTTATGTAAAGTGCCAGTAATAGCGTATTAACAAGGAGGGACTAACACATTCACACAAAAAGGTCTCTAAATTTAGTCCAGACATACTTCCCAGTAAAGAAGTATCCGTTGTTTAGGTCTCTCAACAGAAAGCTGTGGCAATATATTCTTAAAATATTAATGGAAGCTATAAAATTGATGCAGTGAGTGGCTGAGCTTGTAGATTCAACCAAAGCCATGCATTTTTATTTTTTTTAAATGTTTGCTGTTTTTTGTTTTTTTATTAAAATTTGTCTTTTTTTGTAATTTAGTTAGGGACACATTTTGTGTCTCTTTATACATATACAGCTTTACCTAATATGCTGTCACGTTCCAAATAGTAATAATATATTGCTAGGAAAAGAAGAAGAAGATTGTTAAGCATAGAGAACAGAGCTCATAGGGGTTTTTTGTTCTAGAGAAGTCTGGGACACTTTCGTTTGGGGTGTGGTGTTTAAGAAGCATCCATGCATAGTGGTAGCCACTTTTTTTTTTTACTGTTGCACCTTTTATTATTTATATTAGCGCACCTTTTTTTGCATTTTTTGTAAGTTTGGGACTGTCTGGTTGCCACAGCTGTCCCCTGGACCAATAGTTTGGCCAGAGAATCTCTGATTGACTTAAGCCTTGCTGTGGATTTTCATTTCACAACTGTACTGAAAGGGTTAACCTCTATCTCTTTGCAGTGTGACAGAGTTCTAGGCATTTAGGCTGTGCCTCAATGTTGATTTTGTATTTCTGGCCCTATGCTGAATTTATCCAACAAATTGTAGAAGCACTTTGCTAAATGTGTTTCTGTGGTGTCAAAACTCACAGACAGTTTCCAGTTTGGACTCAGAACATATTCACAGGTATGAGATAGAAGCTACCAGTTTGCACTTAAAACTATAACTGGGATTGTGCAATTTTACCCTAAAGGTACAGAAGAAAATGGCATCTATCTATCTCTATCTAATAGAAAACAGTTGCCAAAATGTATTGAAGATGTATGAAGAGCTGGAGGGAAGCTTACGGAGTAAAAAAGTTTACACATGTAAAGTATCATATAATATTTATAACATTTAGCCTGATTTAGCATCTCTAGCAATGGATTATGCAAAAAGCAAGCATAGTGGTTTCTAATGGTGGAGTGTGTTTGTGTGTACACTATGCTATTTAGCGTTAGTCAGTTTATCCATGTCACAAAATATAGATCAAATGTGTGAACACAACTTCAAGCTTTTTGTTTTGTAACATATATCGTTTCTTTCTGTGTATAAGATGCCCGCATGTATAAGACGACACCTATTCTTTGAGGCAAAAATGAAGAAAACAATATTTTAAACATTACATAGAACAACTTTATTTTATGACAGAGAACAACTTTGATATTTTAGAAGTGACTTCTGAGGAAAACACACTTCTGATTCTCATGCCTCCCCTGTGCTACGGTACTCTGTAAAGTTAATGGTGCCATAGTGCATGCTGGGAGACTACAACTCCCACAATACAGCAGGCGGTGTGAGGGCATGCTGGGACATCACAGTAGTATTCCTTTTGCTCCCTGATCCCCATTTCCTCCCCCATAAATATAAATTAGAAAGCAAGACTTCCCTGAGGTGGAGCAAACCTTAATAGGGTTGCTCCTTTTATAGTGTGGCATGTCTCTGGAGCTGTGTTGGTGGTAAGTGCCGATGTCTGCTGCAGCTCCCACGCCTATAGGGACCCCTTCCTCCTTGCAACAGCATACAGAAGTGGATCGAAGGGTGGAAGGCCAGTTATGCGTGAGAGCGTGGCACACTGAAATGCGGCAGGCGCCATCTTAACTTGGGCCCTGCGCACAAGTGTTTTTTTTTAACCCCTGCAGTGACATTCCACGTATAAGATAACCCCCCAATATTAGACTAAAAATGTTTTGAAAAAGGCATAGTCTTATACATGGAAAAACACGGTACTATTGTTTATTTTTGCAACATAACTCTCAGCCGTTTGCCGTTTGGTTGGTTGTTTATTTGATTGTTGCAGTAAATCCTTGGCCTGTCATTGCATGGCCAACCCATTAGTGAGGGTGTCTATGATCATCACAAACAACAACACACGACAAATTTCAGTAAAAGTCATAAGGAGGCTATCAAGAGGGCAAGGGGGCAATCGTGCCAAGGCCACTAGCGAGGGAGGACTGGCAATGGAGATGTGGTCACCATTACTTACCATTCTTCTGTGGATAATAATAGCAAGGAGCACATCAGGACGTCAATTTCCACAGTACTGCAGGAGTGATGCAGCAGCCAATACTAGTCCAACATCGTGTAGGTGTGTGCCTTGGCTACAATCAGTATGTTCTCCAGGCCTGGACTGTCCCACAGAGATATTTCATAGTTTCGTTTCATTGGTGGTAATGGAATCATTGAAAACTGTGTTCTTGTCTGTTTGCGTGCAGAATGAATGCTCAGTCATGTTGGACAGGTCATATTTATAGAGGTCGTAGGGAAATATGAAGTCACACCTCTCAACTCCCAAAGCATTCATATTACATATCCTTATACTGAGTACTCCAGGTCTGTGTGAGAGTTGGGCCATAGGTGGCCAGCTAAGGTCGCTTATGATTAGTTCTGCACAGACCAAAAGCCTTGTACAGGCAGCAGTGACTCTGATATAGTACTTACATGAACACTGAACATTGAACTCATGCTCTCTTGTTCTTTGTTGTTTTTAAGTATCATTGTATGTTGATGTATATTAGATCAATATGTAGTATTATTTAAACACAAACAATGGCTTCCAATGGTCTGAGTGCGAATAGCCAGGAACTTAAATGTTTTGCTAATGTTTAAATTGATTGATGATTAAGTCAAAATTTTATTTTTACTCCCAGTTTCTCACGCATTTACCTCCTGTAGCTGTATAACCATTGATCTGTCACGCACAGTATGTTTAAAATCTGCAATGTAACCAAGTCAAACACATTGGTTTTCCATATATGCGAGCAGCACTTTGTGTATAATAAGGAGATATATATCAGGACGTGCTTTGAAGTCGTCATAAGAAGATGGGTAATACAGAATTATCCCGTCTTTTCTGTAAAAGGAACAACTAAGACATGGCTTGAGGCAGGGGCGATTGAGGCCTCAGCCTGGACTCCATGTTTTTATCTACACTTGAAAAATGTCCCCCAGTTTGTGAAATGCGTTGTGTTTTAATCTTTTTTTTTGTTTTTTAAAGCATTACTGTATATTTGGCATTCACTATTATTTGTGTTTGTCCATTTATTACCCTTTTTTGCTTTTAGTTGCTCTTATTATTTTATCTTCTTTTGTTTCTGGCACTAAAATACTTACCTAATAAAGATACTTTGAATCCTACTTCTTGAGGGATCTACCCAACATTATATCCCTGCTGGGTCCAAGCGTTATCATCTGAGCAGAATCTACTGCTCCATTATATGTAAGTAAAATATTCTTACTTTTACAACCATTACTATAATGATTGCAGTGAGCACTTTTGTTTGCTGTTTTTATCTTTTATATATCAATCCATACATTGAAAGATCAGGCCCCAGATCTACATATGCATCAGTGGAGATTGTATTACTGCATGCTGTTGCAGCAAACTCAGAGCTGGTCTTATAGATCTCTCAAATGTGAGTGATATACCTTATTCATTATTGTTGTATGTCCTCCACCTAGTTCCATATGCTCTGCACCAGCACCAGTTATTTTCTGGTTTTAATACATATGCTCCCACCATTTGAAGTCTGGATGACCAGTTGAGATCAGACTCCAGCAACCGTGGACTCATAGATCTTTATATTGGTGCAACCTATATTTTGTGTATAATATTTTTATGGGCCTAGTAAAACATGTAATAACTTTTCAGGAGCAGCAATACAATAAAATATTATGCCCAAAATGTTACCTTCAGAGGTCCAGAAGCCGCCGTGGGAGAATCTCCTGTTGGGCCCCCCAGTACACAAGACAAACACCTCTATGCTCTTGCACAAAGCATGTCTGAATAAAATTTCAAGGGCAATTTGGGTAACACAAATGAAAAACAAAACTAAAGGACCACATCAGTTAACAAAACTCAAAGGCAGCCACCAGACAGTCAGGCATCAAGGTATGCCTACGATATAGAGGGGGGTATACATATATGTTGCTAAGGGCCTTTTAATGCTATAGGTGGCCCTGGAAGCAAATACATCTAGGGGTGCATAACTTGAACTATATCATGGGTAGTCAGCATTTCAGCTGTTAAAACAACTATAATTTTCAGATTTTGACTAGTCTTTCAGAATTTGAAAAATCTTATTTTACATAAATACAGCTCTGTTGATTTAGCAAGATAATCTTCAGTTGTAAAACACATGGCTCTCTTGTGATGGTTGTACTACAACTTATATGATCATTCGCCAACCACAGACCACTCAGGAGTAAACTGGCACCACTACCACATTAATTGGCTAGCCAGCAATTTCCTAAATTGTTGGTTAGCCAAGCACTATTTATTGGGGGTAACCAACAAGGGGTGCTTCTGCATAAAATAAAAATAAAAAAACTATAATTTTCAGATAAAGATTTAGTCAAGATCCATCTTGGAGGCCACAAATCCTAGAAGTTATTTTATTGTTGTTGGACATTTATGTGTTTTTGAACTGAACAAATATTTAGTTTTATCGATAGAGCAATATTCATCTATCAAAAGACAGAAGAGAACATTTATGAAAAATTAAATATCCAAATGTGTCTTTAAGCAAATACTTTATGGGATTAATTATAGATCAGACAATTTAAAATCTGTCTGAGAGTTATGTGAGTTGTAGTACAAGCTCAGATGGAGCTTAGCCTGCTGGCAAATCCTGAACTATATAAATAAATGATGTATTTTTAACACATGCTGTAGCATTCAGATATTCTATTTTTTTTTTATATTACTTTCATCTTCTTTTTATTTTTAGACACATGACACTCGTAGCAGAAATGCCAATACATACTCTGTAGTTTGAGTCTCATACTAAAGTTTCAGACTGCGTTTTATTGCATGCTGTGTACTGCCCTAAACTATTTCTATAATATGATTACAATATAATAATACAATTTATTTATTTTAACACCACTCTCCCTTTTAGGGATACACTATCCCTGGCATTTGAGAATACGCTATTCTATCGCAATTTTAGTAGTTATAGTAGTTAAGTTATTGCAATGCCTTTTCATTGTATAGTAACTCTTACTATACTTATGAAACAAATGAATTTAGTTAATATCCCTAGTTAATCAGCAATTGCATTTTCAGATTCTAGAATACAGAAATTGGCTTATATACAAGTAAGATAGTGAACTGAAAGCAGCATTAAATTTTAAGCTGTGTATTACAGGCATAGTTTGAGAGTCACATGATTTTTTTTTTTAAAGTTGCTAAAGCTTTTAAAAACCTCAAAATAGGTTTACACTATCATTCATTATATTTATATTAAAGGGGAGTCATTGACCGACAGGGGAGAGCAGAAAGATCTTCCACAGGAGATCCTTTTGCTTTCATAAGCATAGCAATCACAACACATTCTAGCACCTGCTAGGGAGTATAGAAACTGAGTGATGTGACGTCACTCTGTTCCGATGCTAGCACGGTGACAACAAAGCCAGTGTGCTGACATCACTGAGGAGGTTTGATACAGTGGATGAGGTGGATACGTCCCCAAGCAGGTCACGTCAAAGAAGACTGCAGGCAGAGCGAAGGACAACTCGAAGGTGGGTGTTACATGAAAAGTAAAACCCTCGAAGCTTGAAGATGGCGACGTTGGATCAGAGGTAAGGTGAGTAGATCTCAATATTTTACATTGAATTCATCATGTAACTGTGTGAAATGTGGTGTGTTCAATTTATATGAGAGCGATCTTAGATAAGTCACTTTGTTTTCACAAAAGGTTTACTTTAAGTTCTTGATTCGAAAAAATTGAAAAGTAAAAATAATAAAGAGAGAAATCCTACTACCGTATATACATTGATAACCTTAAAATTATTAATAATAAATGAATTATCTAAAAATATAATTGAAAAGCACTTAATAAGTGAGGAGCTGTAATGTGAAGCACTGTAAAGTAATATATTACTGTACCAGTACTTAAGATAGCTGAACATAACATGAACACCTCTATCTACAGGTGCAAAAAAAAAGGGAGAGAAAAAACAAAGCCTAGCCAAGCGTCATGAAGCCAGAAGGCATCATAATACAAACTAGTGAAGGGTTAGTTTGGGCATGACACAACTCATTGGTCGAGAAAGCTAAGCTCAGGACCTCAGAAACCAGAAAAGAATTTCTACCATGAACAAGTAGTTCCACTGACTAAGAAGCATGTAGTGACATATACACGTAGAAGACAGATATTATTCATATTGCGGTTTTTATTTATTTATAAAAGAGCCCAGCTCTGTATGAAATACAATTTGAAGAAACCGAACGTCTCATCTGCAGTTTAATCAAGCGTTCGGGACTTTTACATGTCTGGGGGAGCTGACTAATATGAAGTGGTTAGAGATGTCACTCAAGTATGCTGGTAACCCTCAGGCTGTTATATTGAATGAAAGATAAGATATCTCCGTGGCTACCAGAATCGTTCAACCATCCAAGAGTTAATGCAGAATGACTACATTCTGGAACTATCCAGGTCTGAGTGTAGATTCTGCACAGCTGGATGGTGGATCTTGGGAAACATCTGTCAGGTCCCTGAAGCCTTTCTAGTTATTTGTTGTAGACTTCAGTCTGCATCTTTAAGATGCCCATTACAAAGTTTAACCCATTATTCATCCAAGGTAGCTAAAATTAGTATGAATTTGTATAAACTGAAGATTATTGCATGCAATAATGTTATTTTTTCACACTATTTTCTCTATAATGCTAAACAATACATTACTTTAATAGGAAGGATACATCTTCAGTGTTATTCACTAAATCCATTTTTTTCTCAATAAACAAGGGCATTGCAAATTTTAGACAAGAACAACTAAACTGGAAAAATACTTGTGTTGACGAATTTTTCCAGGTTACCATTTTTGCCTAAAATTGGCAAGTTCCTGGTGAATTGCTACCAACAGGACGAATATCAGGGTGGTGTCAGGGGGGTAGCAACAAGCAGTACTCTGTTAAGGGGCCCAGCTCAGGGGCCCACATGGGGCCTTGTAGCACTTTGAGGTCTGGACTGCTATGCCCAGTTTTGTCAGTGAGATCTCTGTCAGATGGGAGCCTGTACATCTTCCTCTACAGTGGCAGCTCTGGAGGACGTGATATCATTGATATGATTTCCTCCCAGTGTTAATATGGAGCTGCTCTAACCAGCAGCTGAGAGCTTAGACTCTGTGCCGTGCATAGAATTTTGTATTTTGGCATATATTTTGGATCTGAGAAATGATTACAATCAGTGCTTATCAATGATGACTAATCGTCAGCCTTTAGAGTTGTCAGACCTGTGTGATCAACATTTCCTATGATGTTCAGAAAATATTTAATACTGAGAGTAGCAGAGCATCCTTAAGAAGGTACTTCACTACATTCTGGGGTGCCATCTTAGCCATTAATGGTAGACGAGTTTAACTTTCCCATTTTCTTTCTTAATCTCTTAATGACTTGTATTCTCCCATATTTTTATACTTACTAACACTACTTGCTTCTTGACTTTGATCCCTTGTCATTTAAATATCAAAGATGCATTTTTATGTTTGGTTCCAAGTCCACAAAAGAATGTCTTCATATCCAAAATGGAGTGTTATTAATGTATCAATGCATACTATAAAACATTGCATCTAATTATCACAGCACAAGATCATGTAACCTTATTTTGACCGACACAGTCGCATGAGTGCGTGTTCCTTCATTCTCAAACATGTTTTCTGAGAATGTTTTCAAGGATTTCGTCTCTGTGCACAGGTGTAGAGAATGCCATGGTGCTGTCATGTTAAGCCAATAACAATGTCCTGTTTGTTTGATCTCGCCAGTCCCTGGGTTATACTAAGTCTTGAGATGCTTTCCAAGCAGTCAGTGCGTTTGTGCGTGTTTCTTTCACATGAAAAGTTTCTTTGTAAGAGAAGACATCTGGGCTAGCTAACATTTAACACACCACGTTGATATCAATGTGATGTCCTTAGCCCTCTTCAAAGATACCAAAAATAGTTTACACATATTTTGTTAATTATGTAAATATTTGTGTGAAATTCTAGTAATTTACGGTTCAGGCAACAATACCCTGTAAAACAAAACCCCACAGACAATGTTGGTTGGTCACAAGACATGAAACTGTGGAAAACTGAGAAACGAATTACATACTTCTCAAATGTCCTGAATCGGACAATTTTGTGTTTATTCTTGGAGGTGTAAAATACAACAATAGAAAACAAAAAGCCACACAGAAGTGAATTATGAATAATATCAGCAGCCTAGGCGTTTTGTTAAGTATAACTTTATCAATTAAAAAAAAAGTGGAGTGATCTGCACATGGGTAGCAGTATTTGCCTTCAACCTCTTGTCTAGCAGTAATAGGTCACCACGGAGAGAGTGGGTTACACCCAAATCTCAGACCCACCAACTTTGACAGGTCTGCTATATGGTTGGTGGATAATGTCCCCATTTAAAAAAGGGGCATGTCATGGTGGCACGCATATGGCATATTGTCATATTGCAGGGCCGTGTGACTTGACAAGTCTGCACCGTATCCCTATCCTTATAATCCTACTCCTGTCCTGATTTCATACTTCTCCATTGGGAGTGGCATAGTGCGCAGTAGAAAGGGTTAAGTGAAGAAATAGGTATGACCCTAGGTGACTGCAAGCTTTTGGGATACAGTTGAAAAATGTTGAAAACTTCCACAGTCTAGTATTTTGAATATATACTTTATAAGATATTCATGAACATGGGTTTCACAAGAGCATGCAACCCTGTGTCATATAAACGTAGCCCTGGGTCTATATTGAGAATATTTGAACATTCTCAGAGATGTTACATTCATTGTGCAAGACAAATATCACAGCTTTGCCATGTCTTACAGCAAACTGCTGGTAGCTGCAAGAACACAGCAAACTATATGTGGGGAGAGGCAGGCAAACAGCTCCACACTTCTGCAACTAATTGTGAACTGACTCAATGATCACATCATCTCTGGAGTGTCCAGGTGACAGATATCACACAAATGTGCCAGAGTGAACCAAGAACTTAACCTGAACAGTTTGGAACTCATAGGCCCAGGAATGGTAAAGAAATATAACTCAACTGGGAATATAACCCTACAAAAATAATTTGAAATGGTTGAGTAAATCATAAAATGGACCTAGTAATTTTTTGAAGTACGGTCGCGGTATTCAATAAATCAGGAATTAACCAGAGAATTGAAAACAATGCAACAATCTAAAAAAAATTCCATCTCATTTCTTTTTCAAACTATTTTACCATTAAATGTGCAGCAATTCCAAGTAAATAACCCTGTTTGCTTTAGTCACTGAAGTTTTATGCATTAAACCGGTTTTCTTTTACTAAAATAAGAGATCACACAAGGAGCATTTTGTCCAAAACGACAAACATAATTTGCAATATGTATACAAATGTCTCTACAAACTGTATGTGGCAAGGTCTGTTAGGTTTCATTTTCTAATAGATCCAGGGCAGGAGACTGTTATTTTAATATAGGCTAGCTGATAATTGTCATATTATTTTGTTTCATGCCAAGTACACCCGTAGGGGGCTGTCAGATTGCCCAATGGGGCAGACTGAGCTCAGGTGTTATTTTATCATTCGTCTTTCCAATTTCACAAGACATAACTGGCAGGGTCATTTAACAAACGGAAAAATGTGTGGAATTGATGAGGAGACGATTTTAAGGTTTAGGTAAAAAATAACCAAATCAAAATGTCTCCAACTCCATAATTATAAACATAATACAATCACCAGCATAACTTTTGAAAATGGAAGAGATAGAGGCTGCAAAAAGCTCTTGGAAGGTCCCTGTAGCTCTACTCAGTGGTGTATTCTGGTTTTGTGCTGCCCTAGGCATTTCCCTGTGGTCCAGTGGGGCTGGCTGCAGCTTGGTGGGCAGGCGGGCGGTCAGGAGATCTGGCAGACAGGTGAGCGGTGGTGGCGGGCGGTGAGGGAGCTCTGATCTTCCTGCTCCGTTCTCTTGTGCACCTCTTAGTGATGCCGGGGCCGGAGTGACGTCAAATTCCAGCTCCAGCATCACTGCGGGGGGGCCTGAGATGGCCAGCTCCTGGGCCCCACAGGACAAGATGCTGACAAAGAATTTGCCAGGGCAATAGGGGGGCAGCTTTTCTTGCCGGCCCCCAGAAAGTGCCACCCGAGGCAAATGCCTAGCCAACCTCGCGGTAAATACACTGCTGGCTCTACTCCATGGATCTACTTCCCAAGAAAGTTAACGGTGGTAGAGTAATTTGTTATAATGCAACAACTTGTGGCTCCTGGGCCCCACAGGACAAGATGCTGACAAAGAATTTGCCAGGGCAATAGGGGGGCAGCTTTTCTTGCCGGCCCCCAGAAAGTGCCACCCAAGGCAAATGCCTAGCCAACCTCGCGGTAAATACACTGCTGGCTCTACTCCATGGATCTACTTCCCAAGAAAGTTAACGGTGGTAGAGTAATTTGTTATTATGCAACAACTTGTGGCTTCCAAGTGGCACATGAAGTTGGGTTGACTTCTGGTCAATTTAAATAAGGTAATTACGTATTGTTCTCTCTCATTCTGAGAGACTGACATTTCTGTTGGTCTACACAGATTATTGACCCCATGATAATTTATTAAAAAGGCATTCTGTTTTAAGGTGAATAAACAAATGAATAAGGATAGTAAAAAGTTAAAAATACAAATAAATTAAATTACAAATAAAATTATAGCAATAGTCAGTGATAGGGATATGTGTGAAAACACAAATCAGAACAAAACCCACACCAGGTAAATATATAGACAGCTTCCTATATTTTGGTTATATCCCAAAGGAACTCAAATGAAATTGTTCACAAATGGTTCCATATATATTTCACTGGTATTAAACAAAATGTAACACATATAGTGTAGTATTTTGAGTATGGAGAATATTACACACTATTCTCTCAATTGACTCACATACTTAAAAGCTCAAATATTAGCTCCAAATTGATAACCCATCAAATGAAGCAGTTAATCTTCTTCTCAAGCAGACCACCATATCTCCTAAAACACTAAAAAGAAAGATTTGGGGTAATTTTTATATGAGAGCATTAATTATTCATAGAAACTAAAAGGTAAAAAAAAATGCAGAAGTTGAGTAAGAGTCCTATTCAGATTCTGCCTCTTCTTGTGTCTCAGTGGTGATGTCTATAGAGTGATATAATACGCAAATAGATGCAGCTAGTTTGAGGCCTGGCTTCAAAATTAAAGTCAAATCTTCTATCATTCCTTTATAAGGTAGGGTTACCAGATTCACCATTTTTACAGGGACGCATAGAATTTTGTCTTATTTATGAAAAGGGATGCCCTGCAGTATGTATAATGCAAATTCTGCAGGATTCTTTCTTGTCTAATTACTTAATATTAAACACCTTCTTCTTAATCTACATACTACAGGGCAACCCTTTTCATGTGCTGCCCATCAATATGTATACGTGATATGTGTCCCTGAAAACATTGTGTATCTGGTAACCCTATTTATAGGGATATTAGTGGGATATTGAACACAGGAACATATGTCATAAGTTGCCAAACCAGAGCACCTATGTATCAATGTGTACCAGTGGAGAATATAGGCTTCAGAGAAGAACCAGCATAAAATAGCTTTATAGGGCTTGCTAGAAGACTTTGAATGAGGGTCATTCTGATTGGTTAAGAAATTAACTCTCCCATTCACCCCCAGCTAGCAGCTCAACTGTCTAGTTGCTAAACCCCACCAGTGGCATATAAGGTGAGGGGAAAGGGAGGAGGAGAAGATCCTTCTTGTGGTTGTATGTGAGATCTTCATGACCCCTACAGAGACATTTTTATAGTCCTTCTTTTTGCTCACATAAAATAATGAGAATTTTGCGCTACCAAAATGATTTTCTGTACAAAACTGCTGATTTGCATGTTAAAGCATTCACTAAAAACACAGATTACAAAAAAAATATGAAGTATGTCTCACAAGGCATTGCATTGCAGAATAATCAAGGCATAAATACCACTTGAAGTGACAAAACAAACAGATTTAAACATTTTCTATCATTTCTCATAGAAAATAAAAATAGACAACAGGGGAACAGACACAAGAATTTAAAATTTAAGGCCAAAACAGCAAAACTAAAGGAAAACATTCCATGATTTCACAGTTACATAACTTACATTTTGGAAGTCTGTATTCCAGCTGTCATGTGCCTACACCTCTTCATTGCCGAACACTTAGCTATTTAAAAAATATTACCATTCCCAGGTAGTCCAGTGACACGACCTCTCCCTACTTGAACCTAAGCAACTAGGGGGTTGACAATTCCATTGGTTCCAAGTCCGCATACGAAAAGAATAGTGATAATTTAACTTGAATAATTCACTGTATAATGAAGATGTATGTTTATCATATGTTATGTTACATTATTTTTTACCCCCCCCCCTTTTTGTTCTTCTGTACCGCATATTTGATTTTTTAGACAAAAAAAATTTGTCAAATTGAAAAAAATATATATATATATTACCATAACATGTATTTGGAGCAGTGCGTGCATAGCTAGCATATAAAGATATCATACCACAGCAATATTGTGTATATATTGCTTTGCAAACAACATTTTTAAATTGGATAATGTAAATGTATACAATATTTTTTCTCACTTATTCGTTTAGGCTTTATAAAAAATATTTTGGAAAAGAAAAGGCTTTAGGCAGTATACAGAGTCTGAAATGTTAGTACAAAGGCAAAAATTCAACTTTTTTTCATATGCACTAGATGTGACAAAGTAGATGGAAAAAAAAGTAAAAGTACTTTGCTTATAGATATTTGTAAGGACCCTGAAGGCATTGCTAGCAGTAGAGCTTACTAAAAACAATAACAGAATGTAAAAAGAATGTTGGCATTTGAACATTGTGCAGCAGACAAATACAGTTTAAAAAAAAAATAATATATGTGTATATCTCTAAAATAGAGATATTTGAAACCGCTTTATCAATCTTTGTCAATCTCTGGACTGCTAATATAATGCTGACAGTGATATGGTAAACTCCATTCACTCCTTTCCCCTCCCTGACTGTAGGAATGATATGACCCAGTAAAACTTCCTTGTTTGGAAGGAGTGGCGAGTTTACATTTTCAGCAAATGTGTTCGCATTATATCCATGATTAGTGGCATTTGGCAGAGAAATGTGTTCCTCTACAGACTAATCATAACTAGAGTATAAATGAATGTGAGTTTGTATGGACTAGACTTAGTACTGCAAAACCCATGAAAATAAAAATATGTATACTCTGTTTAGGTAGAGAAATGTGGCAAAATACCAATGCTAACATTCTGCCAGTTTAAGAGTTAAATCACTAACACAACTTTACAAAACGTTTTCCAGAACGAGACGTTTAATATTTTATTACTTTTCTACCTTCATAGAGACGATTAAAAAGCAAAATGCGCTTTGGATTAAATGTATCTTCTTGTATATAAACATCAGCTCAATTTATGGAGGCCATTAGTGGTCACAAATCCAATGTGTTCCCTTTAGATTTCTTTTGCAATTCGTCTTCATAACGTTTAGCCTTACCTCCATAGGAAAACATTAGCATCTCAGCTTTAAAGATTAATGGCCAAGAAAATGATGCATTCCCCTCCAGGTTAAGTTGGCACAGTGTCCCATGCTTCATACTTAAATTGTTGTGGCATCTGCCAGTAACACCTTTTGCTTGGCACTGTGCTGTGTGTTCCTACCACTGACATGTGACATGGTGAAGAAAGGGTGGCAGGAGAGCTTACACAAGTCTGAAGACTAAGACTGCGCCGAGGGGTAGACATGTCAGAATGGAAATCTGCATAAAATTGCACTAAAAAAATGAACACTCAACAGCTATTACACCTGTCAACACTTAATATTTGAACCAAGACACATCGTTTATAAATGAGAAATTTTAGTGCAGACAAAAAACAAACAAAGAGACAAAGGGTCATTCTATATGATAAAAAATAGATGTATGCTTCTATGAATATTTCTGTCTCTAGTATGGTCATCCATTCGTCATAAAGATTAAAGGAGGGCAGGGGGCATTTCTCCAATAATATTTGTTTTGATTTTGTCAGCATAATATAATAATCCAACTTGCCCTCTTTTCTTGAGAAAATGTGTTAAATGTGTCCTTCAAATTGAGGGTCCACAAAGATAGTCAGAATAGTTTTCTAAATGATTTTTGACAAGATAATGCATGGATCATTTTGTAAATTACAATGCAGATAATTTGTATGAACAAAATGTAGTGTCTTCAGTGTTCATACACTTGTGGATATTTTCTTCTGACTTAATTTTTGGAAGAACATATAAGAAGGCATATTGTGAAGGCTCAGCCTCCATACAGCTTCCTCTATAGGCTCCTAGGGCTTACTTATGCCCCGTTTCCACTGAGCGGTACGGTTCGGATCGGTACGGCCTGGTATGCTATTTTGAGTGTTTCCATTATGAAAGTGGCCCATACAATGAGACCAAACTGCACCATTCCTGGGCCCACTTCAGATGTAGGTCCATAGGAAATGGTACGGTATGGTTAGGGTGGAGGTACTGACATCACACTATACAATCCATTGATTGGCAGACAGGAAAACGTCAATGCTCACAACAAATGATACGCTAGGCATTTGGTCTAAATCCCGCATGCCCCCTGTCGGTCCGTCTTGCAGTGAAAACGTTCACCTGAATAGGCTGGACCATTCTAACCCTTCCGAACCGTACGACCCATATCGCTCAGTGGCAATGAGGCCTTACTTACTTACTTACTTACTTTCAAAGTGATCCTTTCCAACGCCTTTCTCATTGGCAGCCTTGGATTGTTCATAGAAATGTTTCAGCATGTAGAGTGTAGGCATGTAGTAGTTTTAGACTGATCAGCCACCACATTAAAACCACCTGCCTAAAATCATGTAGGTCTCCGTCCTTCTGCTAAAACATCTCTGATGCATCGAGGTATAGACTTCACAAAACCTCTGAACGTGTCCTGTGGTATCTGACACTAAAACCTTAGCAGCAGATCCTGCAAGTTTCGAGGTGTGGCCTTCATGAATCTGATTTTTTTTTTCAGGCATATCCCACAGATGCTCAATTGGATTGAGATCGGGGGAGTTTGTAGGCATTATCCTGTTGAAAGAGGCCACTGCCATCAGGGAACAATATTCCCATTTACATGGTCTCCAACAATCTCTAAGCAGGTGGTATGTGTTAAATTAATATCCAGATGAATGCCAGGACCCAATGGGTTCGGAGCAGAACATTTTCCAGAGCATAATACTGCCTCTGCAGGGTGGCTTTCCTTCTTCCCATAGTGCATCCTGCTGCCCTCTCTTCCCCAGGTAAATAACACACACACATGCACCAGTACTAGAATTCAAATAAAATGTGATTCATCAGGCCACCTTCTTCCATTGCTCCATCGTCTGGTTCTGGTACTCATGTAACCATTAAATGCACTTTCAGCGGTGGACAGAGATCATTATGGGCACTATGATCCGTCTGCAGTTAAGCAGCCCCATGCACAAAAAACTATGATGCACTGTGTGACCAGCATGATGTTTTTCAGAAAGTCAAGCTCCCCACGTGCATCAATGAGCCCTGGGCGCCCATGACCCTGACTCTGGTTCACTGGTTGTCCTTCCTTATACCACTTTTTGTAGGTACTAACCACTGCACACTACAAACACCACACAAGACTTGCCATATTGGAGATGCTCTGCCTGTCTAGCCATCACTGTTCAGCCCTTGTAAAAGTCACTCAGATGTTTTTTCTTGCCCATTTTTCCTGCTTCCAACACATGAAATGAAAGAACTGATTGTTCATTTGCTGCCTAATTATTATTATTATTATTATTTTATTATTTATATAGCGCCAACAAATTCCGTAGCGCTGTACAATGGGTGGACTAACAGACACATAATTGAGATCAGACCACTGACGTACAGGAACAGAGGGGGTTGAGGGCCCTGCTCGATGAGCTTACATGATAGAGGGAGTGGGGTATAGTGACACAAAGGGTTAAAGTAGGGGAATTAAATAGTTTGTTACAGAAGGGTTTATTGAGTGCTTGGTAGGTCATTTTTGACAGGTGAAGGAACGGAGTCATGGGGTGGGGGATGAGAAACCTGCTGACAGTTTAATTGATACGCTTTAATGAAGAAGTGAGTTTTCAAAGATTTTTTGAAGGAATGGAGGCTGGGTGAAAGTCTGATTGAGGAGGGAAGGGAGTTCCACAGAATAGGTGCAGCCCTGGAGAAGTCTTGAAGGCGAGCATCAGAGGTGGGGATCCGGGCAGAGGATAGGAGTAGGTCTTGGGCTGAGCGCAGGGGTCTCGACGGGACATACTTGTGTATGAGGGAGGATAGGTATGTTGGAGCAGCATTATGTAGGGATTTGTAAGCAAGCGCCAGAATTTTGAATTGGGCCCTATATCTAACTGGAAGCCAATGCAGGGACTGACAGAGCGTGGAGGCGTGGGAGGTGCGACCGGACAGGAAAATAAGCCTCGCAGCCGTATTCATTATAGATTGCAGCGGTGCAAGCTGGGAACATGTAAGACCGGTGAGAAGGGGATTGCAATAGTCAAGGCGAGAGAGAACAACAGCATGAACCAGCACCTTAGCCGCGTCCGGCGTTAGATATATATCCCACCCTTCGCCACGTGCCATTGTAACGATATAATCGTTGTTACTCACTTCACCTGTAAGTGGTTTTAATCTTGTGGTTGACCAGCGTTTACTTGGTGATTTGGTAATCACTTCTACTTTTGCTTCCTACTGAAAACAATAAACTTAACACATTAACCATCATCAACCACAATGCTGGGCACAAACACTATCGTATCTTGTGACCCTTTGTAAGTAAGTCCTCTAATTATATAATTTCTTCATAAGCATGTCATCAAATTTAAGAATATGGTCGAAGCACAATCCATTGTAAGATACAAAGCCAGCTATCGAGAAATGTCATGCAAGCCAATGATATATGACAGAGTTTTAAAACTCTGAAAGGATAACATGGCTTGGAATCCTGTCTAATCTAAGAATATATAAGGCTAGATATGTCCGATAACTGGATATAAATGTCCACAAGCAAGTCCAGGCCAGCCAAAGGGTTTGTTTGGAGAGAGTTTGCAAGATCTTTGCTGCCACAGGCAACAAGGCTAATCACCATTAATAAATATCAAACAGCCATGAGAGTGTTCATTACGACAGCAACAAGAGAGTTCACCCCTTCTAAACCACAGACAGCTATTTTGATTTAATTTATAGGCAACACCAAAGTTTAAAGTTGAAATCTAGCCACCATCCTTTATTCCTACCCAGTTTGTGGTGTCCACTATGCCATACCTAATGTACTGTTTTCATCTTAGCCCTATCATGAATAATGATAAGTGGATTTATTGGTATTTGCGTGTTCTGGCACATTCCAAGCCAGACAGTGATAGTTAGTTAAATAGGATTTGTCACGCTGTCACAAAGAGAAAAGTTTCTACAGAGCCACATTAGTCACTTGAGTTTTTTTTTTGTTTTTTTTTAAATAAAAAAAGGTGGGGGGGAGGGTTATTATGAGGGCCTCAGCAGGGAGTGTAGGGTCACGGGGAAATGGCTAGAGTGCCCAGGGCAAGAAGCACTGAGGAGTAACAGAGTTTACCAATTTTCTAAAACAATGCCCCCCAGCTCAACAGAAAATGCCTGCAGCCCCCTTTAGTTCACGGTAATATACAAATGGTAAAATAAAGAGGTTGGAAGGAAAATGGGGGAACAAATGGGGTTTTATATGAGAAGCAGAGGTAGACTTAACATGGTTGGGGAAAATAGTAACTGAAAACATGGTGTAAGTCCTATTAAAATCTTATAGCAAAGTGTTAGGATCGTCACGTTCTACATCCATTTCTTTTCCTAACTCTCTGCAATTCTATGCAGGCATGCAGCACAGTCAGGAGCTTCATATATAATAATGGTTTGCAACAAATCTCTCTGGAAGTTGGAAACACTTGTGACCTTTAAACCCAAAATGGAGAGTCAACGTGGCCCAAGCAAGACGCTGATTTGCCCCATGGTTCCAAGAATGACAGAAGCTGAAACACAGCGTGTGGTGCCTGAGTATGACCCACTATAGACATTCCACAAATAACTTATGGGATCCCCCTGAGCAGTCAGTCAAAATAGCTAATTAACCCCTTAAGCAAAAGGACCCCAACCTAGCACAACAAACTTCCCAACTACAAATATACAGACACCTATAGACTGAACAAAACATACACACAGAAAGCAACAGTAGATGTTTCAGTATACGGTGACTTATATATAAATCTGCTAATAAGATCAGGTCTCTACTGCACCTTAAATACATTTTTAAAAGCATGTTTGCTTGGGACGACTTGGGTGCATTGTATATTAAAGGTTGCAGAAATGTCAATGATGAAGGATCCAGATTTTATCAGTAGCTCTGCTTAAAGAGGATAGCAGAATCACAATAAAGTTTGTGTGCACAAAGGTATATTTTCAAACCTTATTGGACCTCTGGGGGAGTTAAAAAGTCTGAATCCTGCCGGCATACACTAGATATTCCTATTTTCTCATCTATTTCAGATCCTCCCTAAAACGTTAGAAGACTTTATACTACCCTTGCCCTTTGTATTGGAACACTTAGAACTATGTGGGTTAACATTAGTCTGGGAGTCATGTGTTGCACATCTTACACACTAACATCCCTTGTGCATGTATGTATATGATGGGACCAAGAAGGGGACCCCTGTACTGTTACACCAGTTATGCTTACACAGATGTTTCAATTATTCTCTCATCATCCTTTCAAAAACATTAATGCAATACTCACAAATAAATACTCTCAAATAAAGTAAACTGTGATTATTTAGCTCTCTGGTAACCTGTTATTTAATGACAACATGACAAAAACATGACAGTGCAAGAGACTATTTTCACTGGAAACAAAATAAAATATGGAATTCTTTGCCTGGAGAGATAAAGTGGACCTGTCACAGAAAGAGAGGTGTCTGCAGGACCAGACTTTTCTCGGTAGGCCATAGTTACACCCATGGATCATCTGAAGCGAAGGGCTGCAGGTAAGTCTGCAGCCCCTTACTTATATATCTGTGTGTATATATATACTTATATATATGTATAGATACATATTTTAGAGAGAGTGAGAAAGATAGATGCAGAGCATTCACTAAACCGCAATTGCAAAGCACACAGAATGTGATAGTTTGGTTTGGATTTTTTTTAAACACCTTACCTAGGCAAAAATAATGTACTCCATTCTTTGTATGTAAACTAATACACACATTATGTTACGCGATAGATTATAGGGCTGAAATATATGTTTGTCCAGGGCTGCTTTGTGTTCCCAGTCCCAAGATTACTGTCAGCAACTGTCAGCAGCCTCTCTATACCCTAAATATCTGTTTAGTCTTGTTCCCATAATGCTTAGCAGCCACCAGTGGGACATATTTAGAGTCTGGGATAAGGAATTGAAATGTAATTAAATCTTTACATTTACAGGAAATGTTATTAACACAATGTGCAGAAACATTTTTAATCCATAAAGTAGCACCATGTTATTTTACATGGTATGCAGTTAATGTTTCCACAACACATGAAGTGTAAGGGGTTAATAATAATTTCATGAGTTGTTTTTTTTTTTAATCAAAAGTTAACATAGATATTATTAATAATATTTATTGTAAGCTTCATCTCTAAATATCTCCTTTCTATAATAGTGAAGCATTAGGCAATACATATAAATGCTTATAATAATTGCTTCAGGAATAAATTAAATTTAAATTTTAAAGTCAAGATGGAATTTTCTACTTTTTAGGTAGAATTTTAATTTGTGTCAATGTTGCGGATGGGAGGGGGAGCTTAATTTCCACCGGTTATCACTATTCCACTGTGTCCCTATTACCAGTTTTACAGACGTACTGTGGGGTCTATTCAATAGCGTTCATACCATTAGACAGGCCCTTATTAAAAGGTGATGGAACCTTCATTTCATGGTTTCAATTATTTCTTTCTTTTAAACTATTTACTCAAATCAGATTGCATTTAACGCATACTTATAACAGGGGACTGATAGTTTTACTATAGCAAGCCATACATAGAGAATGCAATGCAAAGTGTTTGTTATAAAAAGGAGACAAACTCTAGTAATATTTACAAACGCTTCAAATAGGTTAACAAATAATTACTTTTTTTTTTTTCCAATTAGCCCTAGTAGTTATTTCATAATCAAATTATCCCTGCTTTCTCTAATTGTACAGCACTGCAGAATAGGTTGGCGTTATATAAATAACAACAACAACAATAATAATAATAATAATAATAAATAACAACTTGTTAGTAAATGTTATAACTGCACAAATATATTCACAAATTCCAGCTGTTTTATCGTGTTGGCTGAGCACACATTAAATTTATATACAGCAATGTACACTTAAGACATTTTTTTTTGTATACCTGATTTTTTAAATGCACATTTTTATTCATTAATATTCTTCACTAAATATCACAATACAGAAATAATTTCCTCTGTCCAGGTGTTGGACTGTGTAAAGCACAAATAAATAAAATAAGATGTAATGATGATCATTATTGATATTTTTTAATGTATCATTAATTTTTACTATGATTTTTTCAGCACTGATTAGCATAAAACATAATCATAACCCGTTTTCCACCAGTGTAACTTTATATTAACAGGGTTTTTTTTTATTAAAGTGAGAATTCAAAATGAATTTCAAATTTAAGGTAAATATGTCAGCTATGCTACCAGTTCAAAAACTTTGACCTTTTAATTTAAAATTCACTTTGAATTTACCTCGTACATGTATTAATCGTCAACCAGAGAGAAGGTGCATTATCGTCTTCATTAAATGATAACATTTGTATCATATGACCAACACCTCACTAACGTTCCTTGACCGTCAAAAGCTACTATTAGCTATTCTCAATGGTGTTTCACAAAGATGAGGTGCGTTTACAAAAATCTGAATCAACAACAGACTTTTAAAGGAAGCCAATGAACAAAATTCAATCTGTCACTTGATTCAAGTGAGATAGTAGTGAAAATGACAAACTTTTGAAAAATCAACACTGACTGACTAATTATGAAAATAGTCTCTTTAAACCCAGCCTAATGACACTCACAGAGTTAATTACTGAAGGGAGAATTGTCAGAAATACACAGTGAAATTAAAGTGAATTTCAAATTTAAGGCCAAATTAGCTGAATTGGAAACATTCCTCAAATTAACATTTCTCACCATGACAATTTACACTTAACCCTGATAGTCTTCCAGGCCATAAACTGCTAAGTGATCCATTGTTAATATTAACCCATTTCTCCCTGCACACAGTTGGAGGAAGTGAAAGAATCATTAGAATGATCCCCTTGGTCAACATACAGTCCAGGTTCTCAGATACAAAATTTAGGCAACAGCTGGTTTCTAAACATTCTCAAACTTAGCTTTAGTCACTGCCTGACTATTTTAACTTAAAGTTTAGAGAAAAAAATCCAACCAGTGTTTAGTAAATAACTCCTGAGGGTTTTTTGTTTGTTTTTATTCAAGTCCCTTAATTCACTAATTTGATTTTTCAGAGCTGTTATAAAACTATTGCAATAAATCATTACAATGACATAATGCCTGACTGCCATTTAACATTCCAAGTTCCAGACAATCTACTGCCAAATGCCAACCAATCTGGATGCCTGATTACCATTTTTAGAGAAATGATATTATTTAGATTATATTAGCTCCAACCACCACAGGTGCACTGACCAAACTATGCCTGTCAGGAGGAGGTCTCCTCATCTATAGCCCAAAGTAAAACAAAAGCAATCAGTACCAGTATATATAATATACATTATTATTTTTTATTCGGCCAATGAGACTGGCCTGACAACATTTAACTATATTTATAATCACTGAGGACTTATTGATTTACTCCATACAAAGAGCATTTAGCATTCACGCTATTCCTCGCCTTCTCTAACACACAGACACTTGGAATCCAGAGAATTTCATTGTAGCTTCAGTCCCACCATGGTCAGTCAGCAGGAGGCTGGCTGGCAGTGATGGGAGCTGCAGTCCCTTGGAATTCCCTATCCTTTGGCTGGCAGATGCTGCGACTTACTTTTCATAGTCCTTCCTGCAGTAGAGCTTCTTGTCTCTGTAGAAGCAGCTGCTCTCCAGGGGTTCCTTGCATACACAGCACTGAGCACACTGTTCGTGCCACAGGCTTTCACTGATCCTCAGGAGAAAGCGGTCACAGATAACTCTCTCGCAGCCCTCGCACACCCACTTCTGCTCCAGTCCCCGACCTGCAATACCCAGGACATCAGTGATCAATAATCAATACGTGATGACCGTTATCAATAGTTCATTAAATAGATCAATGATCCTAGTAAGGGTTATCAATAGGCTATAACCGGTAGATGCTGTGAGTATCACTATCAGAATGTATAGATCTGGCAAAAAAAAATGTTTTGCAAAAATACTAAATTAAATTAAAAATACAGCATATTTTCCCGTTTTCATTTTCAGCACCAATAAGTATTTATTTCAATCAGCAATAGCATCTCATATCAGCAAATATCACAAATGGTCATATGTATTAATGGGTAAATAGCGAATGGATCAGTATAACCAGGAACATGAGCAATGTAAATTAATAAACCTGAGAATGAAACAGTCCAGTCTATAATAGCCAACAACAGATTCAGACATCAAACCTAACAGGAAAATGAACATTTTAAAAAAACCAACACATGATAAATAAAATTAGTATTAATCGTTGAATATATATATATATATATTGTAGCTAGGAAGCCATTGGTATTGCATTTGGCAAACTGAATATATGCACTGTATATACAGTATCTCTACTCTGTTTGAGTAAGGCTTAGGAAATACACTTCTATTTAATAAACATTCATTTGCATTTCAGTAATAAATCTTACACCTTGTAATGACATGTGAGCTCTCTGTCATTTTCTTACACAGAGTCTGTGAAGTGTGTTAGATTTATTTTGGATTTGTACTTCGAAATCTCCTGGAATTGTATTTCTTGTGTATTCAGAACTGTTTCAGAATAATTCTAGTGATTATAATAATCACAGGACTGCTTGCCATCTGCCCAGATGTAGGGTTAACCCTTCATGTGCCAGGGTGCAACTCGATGGACACGCCTCTCTGTTGTACACTAAAGTCAATATATCCTGGCATCATTAGTATTACCATAACACCATTTTAACTAAACATCCTGGAAAATGCAGTCTGACAAACAGCTGTGGTACCAAACTATCCAGTTGTGTTAGTTCTTTGTGTGAAGGCTAGAATTAATTACATATTGTTTCTTCTTGGGCTGAATGACAATCTAATACTGACTTTCAATGTAAGTTTGAAACTTTAAAACCCATTATCACATACATACACACACACACATACATACAAACACAGACACGCACAAACATACAAACTTCTTATTACAGAATGGCATATTCTTCTAGATCTTAAACTGAGCTCTGGGGCACCTGAACGCAAATTACATACTGGGCAACACACACTAGACACACTCACCTGCTCTACAAACATACACACAGCTCCTTATACACATAGTAATATAGATCGATATAGCCAGAGGGAGAGAGACATACTGACAAAGACAGACATATGGCCTCTAAAGGTAATAAAACGTCTGAATTGGGTACAGCAATGGGGATTGAGTGACAAGATCTGATGACACATTGCATATCATCAGAGAGTTTTGTGAAGTTGAATGCACTGTTTTTTGTACTGGTCCCATAGATTTGTAGACAGTCACTCTGTATATATAGTGTATAATGTTATTTACATATATTTTAATGCGATGGTTAGAATCATTTTCTTACTGTCTGACTATTCCAGTTGTGCCATTTATTTTGTTTTTCTTGCTGCAGAGATTTCAGCATTTCAAGAACAAAAAAAAAAATCCAATATAAAAGATAATAGCTATTACCTAGGGGCATCACGGAGATAAAGGGTTAATCTGCTCAATGTCATCATTTTTATTAAATCTGCCTTTTACAGCCTGGGGTGTGATTTCTAACCTCGCTCTGGAGCTTTAATTATGTGCAGTAGAAGTGCAATATCTCCCACTATAGGAGAGGGGCAGAGTTTATAAACAGACTGGGGGTCACAATTAAACCCTTCCAGTGCCGAGAGAGGCACTTCTGGCATTCCCAAGAACCGTACGATGCTGAGCAAATAATTAGCTACAAGTCACAAACGTAAAAAATGAACCTGGAATTGTAGCACTGTGTCATAGTCACCTAAAACTGATACAAATAAACATACCCTGACATATATTCACTTAGTAAAGTTATAATTCACAGAATGGATAATACTCTGCATGTTTTCCCTATTTATCTATCTATCTAACTATCTATCTATCTTTGTATCTATCTATCTATCTGTCTATCTGTCTATCTATCTATCTGTCTATCTGTCTATCTATCTATCTATCTATCTTTGTATCTATCTATCTATCTATCTATCTATCTATCTATCTATCTGTCTATCTGTCTATCTATCTGTCTATCTATCTATCTATCTATCTATCTATCTATCTAATCTATCTATCCATATTATTCATTTTAAACTGTTGCATTACTGAAAGAATCTCCCAAATATGTTTTGAGCATTCTAATCCTGTATTATTTATGTACCTTAAGAATGTTTCACGTTTTCATAATCTTTTTAAGTAGCCTGAAATAGAATAAGATTATAGTACTTCAAATATGGAAATATTATTATATATTATGTATTCTATTATATTTGTGTTTCTTTAATGCAAACATGCCTTGTGATACGTTTGTATATGTATTTGTGAAAGTGTGTATTTGCATGTATACATTATCTCTATAATAGGTATAGCAGCCATTTACACAATACATTTGTATATAGAGTGCTTGTACGTGTGCATGCTATATAAATGGTGCTTGTTTGTTGTTTTGTTTTTAATAAATAAAGTGTTTTATTTCCAAAACATTCATTACCTTATGAGAAGGTATTGTCAACATATAGTTCTTCTAAACGCTCACAATGCCACATTTGTTTGAATTATTCTGACTTAACGTCAACATCGTGTTTTGTTTATATATTTTAATTAGTAAATAATTTTTTTTTATTTAGTAAATTGATCATGTTAACATTCATAGAACAATTATTCTTTTTTTTTTTAATTAGGAATTTGCTCATTGTAAATACATTATGTGTTATATTTTACAAGAATAATTGTTTTCAGTATACCACCTTACGTTTCGAGTTTCAAATTTTAAAAAAATCTAATTCTTAGCACACTGTGAATGTATCCAGTATTTAGTTTATTTTATGTGTTTGCAATAAACGGTATCTAGAATAGCATTTTGTGCACAATTACCTACTAGATCAATTCTAGAATATAGTTATAGTATTCGATATGCAATTTACATGAATTAAAGGAAAACATGATATTACAGGTGTAAACATATAAGGATTTTTTAATTCAGTATACATTCAGTTCTGTTGTGTCAGAAATTAATGAGATCACTTAAAACTGATCTAGAACGCGCAGTTAAGAATTCTTCCGAATATTATCTGGTTCAGAATTCCTCATTCTGGAACGAACTCCAGACTGACAATTATATATAGAGTCTCCATCAATATTAAAACTTACCAAACAGAGAAGACATTGTAGCTGACGTTTCGATAACATTTTGTATATTTTCTTCCATTTTTAACCCGTCAAGCATTGTGACACACTGTGGATGCAAAAACAAACATAATAATGATAATAATAATAATAATAATAATAAACATACTGTCTACGTGATGCATCTTTTTATATCAATGTATAATTTGACAAAAATATATATATATAGTTTTACTACAATGACTTTTTTTCACATTTGTAGGGTTTTTATTTTACATTTACTTTCTGTATAGTATTTGTAATAAGAAAATTATAAATAAAGCTGCGATTCAACATTGTATACATTTTGCTTCTATATCTATAATATATATATATATATTATCGTGAAATAATTAAAGTTTTTAATCGGTGATCTAATGAATGGAATTTATAATTTTCCCATTAAATAAACCAAAGTGTTTTCTGAATCTTCTTATTTAGAGCAATGTAAAAATCGTGTAATAATTTCAGTAACACAGCATCTACTAGTTCCAGTCATTTGAAGAGATTTGTTTTCTGAACTTTTGTTTTTTTTTTGCCCAGATTATTCTATAAATGATCCATTCTGACAATGTCTTTTGAATAATAAAGTTACAACACTTACATTATAAAAAGTTTTTTTTTAACTTTAAGCATATTTTTATATGTCATTAGCAGGGAAACATTATATTCAGTATATATAAATACTGCTCTAGAACCAAGACACGAGGATTTATAAAGCAAGTAGACATTAAGTTGTAACAGTAACCTGTGTGCACTAACAAGTGATGTGAAGCTTTGTGTTGTATTTTAAAGTACATTTTCTCAGAGCACACTGCTAGTTAACCATAATTATGTTTTATATATTATGTGTTATTAAAATATACATGAAGTCATTTAGTATTACGTCATTCACATTTGTATTTGGTTTAATGAAACACACAGACACACACACACACACCCCATTCCTTTATGTGGCAGTGTGTGCAGTAAATAGAATGTACAGATGTGATGTCAGTGATACAATATCCAGTGCAGTGAGTAGCATTCTATCAGCTGTTAGCTCAGTATAGAGGTATAAGGATCCCTTACCCAGCAGTATGAGTTAGGAGGAGACAGGTCCTGAGTGTGAGGCTGGGATGCAGGATGTCCTGAGATGTGTCTGTCTCTCTCTCTCTCTCTGCTCGCAGTGACTCTCAGTTTGATCAGGTTAGAGGAGGGACCCGGCCTCTCTTGGTGTGGAGCTGTCACCAGGCTGTGACCCACCCTCTGACACCTGTCAGTCCTCACAGCCCAGCCCGCGGAGCTCATGCAGAGTGCTGGAGTCTGTGAGCCTTGGGAAGGCAGGCTGGAGCTCTTTATCTTCCTGTGTGGGGAGTGTGCCCTTAAATACCTGGACCTGCCTGCATCCGCTTTACATAGACTGACTGAACGGCCATTCACTAACACTGCGACCACACTCTCTCTCTAAGTCTCTCTGTATCACACACTGCCTGCTGCCCCCTCTCACTCTCTCCCCACACCCCTCTCTCAGACACTCTCATGTTCTTCCTAGTTTTTCTTAATTCTTTCTTTTACAACACTCCCTCCCTCCTTCTCAGTGTCTTCCCTCCTGCATCCTCTATCTGACTCAATCTCTTTTCCCTATAATGGGTTTTACACCGTCTTTTCTTTTAACAGTTCCGTTTAGTTTGTTTGTTTTATTTGGAGAAAGTTGAAATAGCCCCCTCCATTGCCATACCCTGTGAGATGAGATGCTGGTTACAGGAACACCAACAAACCTGTATTCCTAACGCTTTAGTGTTCCTGTCCCTATTTAAAAACAGTCAGCCCCCAGCTTGCCATAAAATTTTTACTTACCTTTCTCCAATGCCTAGGATTTCTTGGTGCTACTTACCTCTCCGCCTCCCACAACTACCCAATGACAAATCCAATGTTACTCATAGAATAGCATTGGTGACTTCATGTGCATGTTCGGCGAGTGTTGTGTGTGCATACAAGCCATCTTATACGAAAGCATTGAGTCAGCAGATAGTAGTCCCTTAAAATTGATACAAATAAACATTCCCTAACATATATTCACTTAGTAAAGTTATAATTCATAGAATGGATAATACTCTGCATGTTTTATCTATTTATCTATCTATCTATCTATCTATCTATCTATGGCATGTTCAGCGAGTGTTGTGTGTGCATACAAGCCATCTTATACGAAAGCATTGAGTCAGCAGATAGTAGTCCCTTAAAATTGATACAAATAAACATTCCCTAACATATATTCACTTAGTAAAGTTATAATTCACAGAATGGATAATACTCTGCATGTTTTACCTATCTATCTATCTATCTATCTATCTATGGCATGTTCAGCGAGTGTTGTGTGTGCATACAAGCCATCTTATACGAAAGCATTGAGTCAGCAGATAGTAGTCCCTTAAAATTGATACAAATAAACATTCCCTAACATATATTCACTTAGTAAAGTTATAATTCACAGAATGGATAATACTCTGCATGTTTTACCTATCTATCTATCTATCTATCTATCTATCTATGGCATGTTCAGCGAGTGTTGCGTGTGCATACAAGCTACCCTATAGAGAAGCATTGAGTCAGCAGAAATGGACAGGACTTTATTGAGATGAAGTATGATAAGGGACTTTAGTGATAGTTTAATGACAATTAGAATGGGGTTCCTTTTACCATTCTGTAGGCCTTGGGATAGTATATTAAGGTTAGGGTTTCATATGTCCCTCTTAATCTCTTCCTTGCCAGAGGTGTACCCATACCCAATGTGCTGAACATAACTCTGGCTGTGCCTCAAGCCACCTCAGAGTGTATTGCGAAGATATGACCCCTTTAATATGTTTTTTTTTCCTAAGCATTAAATTTGAGATTCCTTTCTAGCAAATAATTAAAAGTAATATGTCTATTTAACTAGAAGTTTGTGCATCTATTTAAACATATGTTTACTTTCAATATTGTTCTTGAAGTGTGGCTTTGAAAAATGTTGTGAACCACGAAAGTAGGAATGTCTATTCCTTGTTTTAATAATTACCTAGTACCCACCCTTCCAGCCTAGAACACCAGAGCAAATCACACTCTCTAGAACAATAAGTCCCACTTACTAATTATTAATATGGTATGGTAAGCCCAGTCGAGCTACTATATATTCCCTAATTACAATAACAATTCTTACCAACTCCCCATATCCCTAAATATATCACCAAACCAATGAGATTGCTCTTCAGTTAGAGTGCTCTTTATTTATTTATTTTTACAAACCCCCTTTATTTGAGGCTAAAGGAGTATGAAAAGATAATAAAATTAAATATAGAAATCCAAACCAATGTATTCACCTCTATTCTGCAAGTGATTGTCTCCATCCTGGCTTATTGTCAATTATTTTATAGGCTCCGCCCTTTGCACCTGTCAGTCAGTATAGACAGAGCATAGAAAAAGGAGGAGAAGAAACATATACAATATTTCAGTTTTTCCTACTCCATGTGTGGCTGACTGGCTCTTCCTGGACTGAACTGGAGTAGGATATCGATTGCTAAACTTATAGTATACATTTTAAAAGAAAATAGAGCAGGACGTGAATAAAAAATTTACATCGGTTCTAAGTATTCTTCAGTGTTTTTTTTTTCCAGAGAGGTGACAAATCCACTTAAAGCTTTGTGGATTAATGCAAGGGCTAACTAAATGCCCTGGTAGCTAGCATTTCTAATGAAAATATATAGCGAGAATGAGCAGAGAATTCTTTCGAAGTGCACATGGGCCTGAAAGGCATATCAGTGCTGTCATTGTCAAGTGATAACAGAACATCCACACACGCATAATCTAGACACAGGCAGGTGGGCATCGCTGTGCAGGCTCTTGCCAAAAATTCCTAATGCTTGGCACTTGACCAGTCTTGAATGTAGCAATCAATCATAATGTTGGGTCGTAAAATCCCATAAAATAAAAAAAAAGAAACAAATTGTAAATACGTAGGAGCAAAGATGCACAATAGGGGAGACACAGATTGATACACCACACAGAGGTACTCCATATAGATACTACATACAGAGAGACATAATTCAGTATGTACTAACTGGGTCAGTGTCACAAGGGTAAGAGGCAGTAATTTATTTACGACAGATCAAAAGATACGCTAAGTGGCAGCAATACCAGAAATAAACAAAGAAATTCACTTTTAAATTTTCTGGCAAAAAAAAGTAAAATATATCAGATAAGATCAGCACAGAAAACTGATATCTCTGCAAACATCTGCAACCCATAGAGAAAGAGAATTAGTAATACAGCGCCGTATGTCCCAAGAGTTCTAAAATATATTAACGTAATGTTTAACATTTTTAAAGAACATAAGTGTGAATTTGATTTACTTTCTATTATCATTAAAATTGCTTTGTCATGTTTTTGCAGAATAAAATGCTTTTTTTTAAAAATCTGCCTACGTGTTTTTTTTTGTTTTATCATCTTTTTCATAGTGTATTGTAAAATTATTTCTAAGGGGAGGAAGGGGCTACTTTAACTTGTGGCCCTTCTTACTGATAGAATTGGAAGGCCCACTAAATTAGCACACTAACTGTATTCCAATAAGCAAGTTTTCCTTTTTTTACACAACTCAAAATGCATCAATTTGATATTGTTTGATTAGCTTTACAGTTGATTTGATATTTTTTAATACACTTTTTTTGTTTTTCTACATCATATAACATATCTGTGGAAAATTGCATTTGTAGATAATACCAAGTACATTGGGTGAGGTATAGACATGTTTAGTATCTCTTGGATTGGTACACAGTGATGCTGTAAAAATATGTGTGTCCTTTTACAGAAGGCAGCGTGAAAGACTTGAGTTTGGGTATTTTTTATATAACAAAAACGAGGTCCAGAAACAAAAATTGACATGACTGAGACGTAACTTTGAAAAAAATATTTTCACCTACTAAAATATATAAAAAAAAATTGTATTTAAAAAAAGATATCAATTTATAAAAAAAAAATCTAAATATTACAAAATATATTAAATAATTTGGAAAGCTTATCCAACAATATTAAATTAAAGCTTACATAAGTGAATTGGTTACTGACATCAAGGTGACCTTAGTGATCATTCAACTTACACATCATTTTTTTGTCCTTTCTAAGTCTAGACTTAGGGTAAATTGTAAGAGCCAACACATTAAGTATGGGTCTATTAACAGGTAGAAAAGTAAGAGGCATATTACCAAGACTTAGAGTGATCAGGCTTAGCACTGATTATGTAGGTGGAATAACTGGCATTATCTCACCAAAATGTTGAAAACCAGCACCTGTTGGCTTCTGGCCACCCACAGAATAACGCAAGTACAGGAATTAATAAATTGACTTGGAAGTACTGACTACCCCTGCATCCCAATTGATGCCAGTAGAAGATTAGACTGCAGGAATGACTTGAGAAGCCTTTGAGGCCTTTCTTAACTTATTGACTGGTACTCAGGAAAATAAGCTTTCTACGTGTACTTTAGATCACATTTTTAATGTTGCCTTCCACAATAATGCTTCTATATGCAAGTTGATTTAAAGGAACATTATTGAGTTAGAAATACAAACATGTATTCCTAATGTTATAGTGTCGCCCTACCTATTTAGGTGACCACTCTCCCTCCATTACAAGGCTTTAAAAGGTAGATTTTGCTTACATTTAATTCCTCCCTGGTCTCTCTGGGATCAAACATTGCTTCCAAACCACTACATTGAGATGAAGTGGTCTGGGTTCCTTTAGTGTCCCTTTAAGACCTAAAAGACCAAAGAGGAAACTCAGTAATGAATGTTTGTATCAGAAAGGGAATAGAGCAATGCTCCCTTTTAACTCACAGAATAGATGAATAGTTCCCCAAATAGTTAATATTCCATGAAGTAGTAGGAACCTCTATCTTGACTCTATAAAGATGTAGTTGTGTTAATTGAAGTCCCTTTAGTGCCATTCTCCCCACCATGACACGAGGCACTGCTGATTTGGTCAAGCAACAACAGTTTAGCTGTGTGCTTGTATGTGCATGTATGTGTGACTTATCCTGTATCATAGTGGCATTTCTATGGTTTGATTAACTGAAGATGTGATAAGGGATAGAAGATAGAATATAGAAGATTTACACTAATAATTTTTGGTTTTATACAGCTTCTTAAGATTTGTTATTGTTTCAACAGCATTCCATGCAAAATCCTTAAACTATACATTTTCAGGTTTGCGAATCCCATACGTATATCAATCACTTGGTTATGAGCCAATAAGCTGATCTTGGCAAAAATAACTCACTTAGGGAACAGTTAAAGACACAAGTACTAACTGGAATCCAAACTGCTGAGATTCAGAAAGGCAGACAGAATCACAGCAGGAAAAGTTGAAAACATTTATTTTCAAAACAAAATTGAAATTCTTACTATAAGATATTAATATCTCCAAATTGCATCTGAA